GGAAAAAAAAAAAAAAAAAAAATAAAAAAAAAAGGAAGGAAAAAGGATTTTCTTTCGCTCCTTTCCTATCCCTTTATCTTTGCTGTCGCTAATTTTCCTAAATAAAGTGTGACACCTCGCCTTTTTCTTTTTTAAATGTTTTATGGCTAAAGGGAAGTTTGTTCTACAGCATCATTACAAGTCAGGGTTACATGCGACCTAACAATTGTACTAATTTCCTCCCATTGCATAATCCCTCAGGGTGTGTTCACTCAGGCGATTCCAGAGTGCCTGGGTGTGGTTTCATGTTCGACAACGTTGGAAAGGCCGGCTGCGAAGACGGGTTCCTGTCCTCTCCTCCTCGTCCGGCCCTCCCACCCACCAGGAGAGCTGAGTGGGCAGAGCCCACCAAAGTCTGAAAGATGGAGAAGGTGGAGGGGAGTGTGGGCAGAAGGGTGCGAGCTGCTTTGAACGAGACCCCTCCCGCGTGTGCCACTCCTTCAATAGACCTCACTCACGACACTTTGATAAACCAACAAAAAAACAGATTTGGGTTTCAGTAATAGTCCGCAATCACAGTTTTAATCCGCTCATTGATAGTTCTTGTGTGTTAGATCTCATTGACTGCGGCAGCTAACTTGCATATTCCTGCCGCTGTGTATATATGACCTGATATCCCTGACTCAGTCTAGCCTTGGATGAAACGCCTACCACCCCACCACCCACCACCACAAAACAAAACACACCCACACATACATGCAGACCAGCTGTAAGAATCCAACCAATACACCAAAAACCGAGCATAAAACATCCTTGTCAAATATCATAGCTGCCGGAATTTGCGACCCATATAAACCAACCATCATAGGTGAGGATACGCTTACCTTCACTATTGATAATTAAAGGGAAGACAGGGTGTTAAACTCATCTGCGGTCCAGTGGATAAGAGCTTGTCCTGGGAAGCTCGCGTGCTGTAGTCAAATGGACCTGTGAAACCGTTCCATGTTCTGGTGACACACGTCCAGAACCGACTGCGTCAGCAAAACCCAACCAAGAACCATGCTACCCCAAACATGGCCGCGTCAAGCCAGAAGCCCTTGTACCCCAGGAACTTCACCAGTGCTTCCCCTGACAGGTGCAACCATTCTCACCTCTCTCGTCAGCCAGATCTCAGTCTCTCAGAGCAACATACCTGCCTCCCTAGCCTGGTGGTGATGTAATGTCCTGAATCTTGTCTGGTCCAACAGCACTGCCAACACTCAAACTGAACACAGAGTAAGATGAGAGTTTTAGCTGTTGAGCACATAGTCTGCGCTAAAGAATTTTAGAGACTTACAGGATGTGGTATTAAAATTTTGTATGATTCACGCATGGTGTGACTTGAAAGTAACACTTCGTTTATCCAGTCTTTTGGAGGTGACTGAAGACATAATACAGGATTTATTTCTGGAGGAGCCGATGAATAGTTCCTTACACTATAAGAACCGTGTGTTAAAAGGCGAGAAAGGGAGTGTGTGTCTTTACTAAGACCATGCGAATTTTATTAAATGATCATCAATATGAAATATCGGTATAGGTGGATGCGTGGTGTGGCTATACCCAGACCTAAAAGTATGTAGATCGGGATGGCCAGAGACCTCAGAGATCGTTATGAACCGTGCGTGAGAGCGACATATAGCCTATGACACGGTATAAATTTCACTGAACATGAAGGGGGCTTGCCTCTGCTGTAGTGAATTGTCTCAACTAGTATGGAAGCTCATCATCTCTTGTATTACAAGAAGAAGTAAAATAAATTAGTATACGCACAAAATTTATTATGAAAGTGTGATTGTGTCTCACTCCTAATTTATAGTTTTATTAAATAATATCTATTTGAATCCTCCAAGTTCCTCGTGAAACTTATCCACTGCGGTCTCAAACAAGACACGATAAAAGCTGAAACTGCTTAAATGTCTTGCACCTTTGGATTCAGTAGCTCACTTATTGAGCATTGGTTACCATAAGTAGTCTCCCTAATCTCAATTCCACTGCGTAAGGAGCGGACATCCACATGAATGGGATCTATGATAGGCGATTCGTTTTGATCTGTTCATCTAATGCCGCTACTGCATGCTGATCCTAGGGTGAGACGCACCTCAAAGAGCATGAGGAGCACCCCGTACCCACGAAGAATTTCTAACCACCTGCTCAATGATTGGGATCCTGAGAGGAGATCAATCAGAATGAAATATCCAGAGTCTAAGTGTTGCGTACTATAGACCATGGCAGATTAACGACTAGAATGTAACAACTGAGGTAGGTGGTCGCCATCCGGCTTTCTGTGAGCCACCGGTCCCTGAGAACAGTCAGATAGAGAATAAGGATACTAGCCCTGGTGTAGAGTGGCTCACAGGCAGGCGGTAGAGCCAGTTAATGGGGTCACAAAGAGGTGAAAACGAATGTTGATCCATAAAAGTTAGACTCAGAGTGTGTATTCGAGTCAAAACTAAGTTTCCAGACTCGTGTTCCACGGCTGGGACAAACGCAGAGAAAGAGAGAAGAGAAGAAGAGAGAGATGTAGGAGGGAAGGCAGTTTGTCACTTGAGTTGTATAATGCGCATCTGTGTCGTTGACAGACGTAGGAAGACCCTCTCACCGTGAGGTTTCAGAGACCTGGACATTCGCACCGAAAATTCTCGGCCTCCACGACACTATTCCCGCCTCTCCCATCGCCATGTGTCTCCTCCAGTAGTCAAGATAGTCGGCCATTCTCATCTCTGATTTTCTGTGAGAGTTAAAGTGCTCCTTGCTGCAGTTGGCCACCGGTACACTCGCATCTCCTGAAAATACAGTATCAGCATAATGCAACGGTTGAGCAGAGATCCAGCGAGTTTTGGTACCGAACTGGGAGGCCAGATAATCGATGTTCGGTCTACCGTCTTTCTGCCACTCTTGTCTCGCCCTCCAGTCTCTGGTGGCGGCCTCGGAGAACAGACACGGCTCGTTCTGCAGCAGAAACTCCTCCACGAACGTCAGGTAGTCGGCAGACTCGGGGAAGTAGCGGACAGATCTAGTCGTTCTGCAACCAGACATCCCGTTGATCACCAAACGGGACGACATCAGTCCCATGAACCGATCACGATATGGGACGAAATCCCGGACTACAATGGACGCCGCCGCGAGCAAGAGAGACTTCGGTTCTTTCCATTCTTCCAACGTGGAGGAGCTCCTCAGACTACCCGAGGCTAGTTCAGCACCCCATGCTGCGCTCTGTCTCTCTAGCCCCGCCCTCTTCGTGTGTCTGCTGCACGTACAGGAGGTCTACCAGCCACCGAAAATCCCAGTCGACCTTCCATCCTTCAGCAGCAGCGACCTAAAGTTCGGACGAGAAGCTAAAGAGGCTCACTTTCATCTGAGCGTACGTACTCAGCGTATTATGCAGCATGGTATTAATGTGTAAGTACTCCTGCAGGCAAGCTGGACGTTTATCAACCACGGAGCATTTGGAGCCGTCTTGAAGGAAGCGCTGGCTGCAGCTGCGGTTAGCAGCAGCCCACACTCTCCGCAGGGAGCTTCATCTCTGTCCCACAGGTCTGGCAGGTGTACTGTGAGAGACAGCCGCTGCGGTTCCTGGACCGCGAGCTACTGCCTCTCCTTGCCTTCACTACAAGGAGACTGGCCGACTTCATAGGCCAGCGAACCCAGCCCAGGCCCCCATATACCATTACCTCCTGGTCTTCTTCCTTGCAGATGCAACCCCCTCTGAACTGGCTCTGGTCCCCAACGTAACAACAGGAATTAATTCCGTGATCCGCTCTGTGTGTAAAACATTCTCCCCGCAAGACTCTGTTCTCATCTTCAACACAACATACGGCGAGTCATTTCTGGAGCTAACACTTCTAGTTTTGCTGTTTTATGTTGAGCAGGTGCGGTGAAGAAGTTGGTGCGAACAGTGTCTGAAGAAGTGGGATTTTCGGTCCACGAGTTAGTCATCCATTTCCCTCTCCACTCACACTCTCAAGTAAGGGCTCAACATTGTGTGATACTTGGTGGAGTGTTTGCACCAGCAGATATTGGAGACACTAGAGAGTGGATTGAGGTGAGGTATGGCCATTACTTCAGCCTTTCTCTCTAACTATACACACACACACTCTCCCTCTCTCTCTCTCTCTCTCTCTCTCTCTCGTTGTCCAGGGAACACGAGTCTGTGAAACTAGTTATTGCTGATCACATCTCTAGTAACTATGGCATCATCTTTCCCGTGAAGGTCGGCTCTGAGCACAACACATTACCTCTTCTCTATCTGACTGTCTGCAGGAGATGGCGACACAGTGTCATTCTAGGTTAGTTGCCATGGCAATAGACACTGCTGATTTCATCTATGACCTCCTGATCCTAGAGGGGTTGAAATTCTTGTGGACGGGGCTCATGCTCTTGGCGCTCTACCAATCAGCATGCGGTATGAGATCACATGCCTATCACATGACCATCATGTGACTCCTCTACCAGTGATATAGGGGCAGACTACTATGTATCCAATGCTCATAAGTGGCTCTGTAATCCAAAGGTGAACAACATTTCAGTTTGTGCTGTAGGTGATAAGTTTCCACGAGGATCAAAGAAGTGCCACATACACTCTATAATTTGGCGCTACTAATTTCATTTTCTTCTCTTGTTAAAGGGGTGTGGTTTCCTCTACGTGAGGACATCACTACAGCGGAAGGTTCGACCGCTTGTCGTCTCCCACGGTTACGACTCTGGGTTCTCCTCCAGTTACATTTGGTCTGGTAAGCCACACCCTCCACCACCGATATTTCAATGATGTACATAATAATCGCAGGTCTAAAGGACTACAGCCCTTTTCTCGCCTTAAACACAGGTTCTTATGTAATATTATGCAGAAAAATCTGTAGCCCTCAAAAAACATTTACATGCACATGGGATCATACAAATTTTTCCCACCTGTAAGCTCAAAATCTTTAGCTGCCGACTATTGCTCAACAGCTAAAACTCTCATCTACTCTGTGTTCAGTTCTGGAGTTCTGGCAGTGCTGTGGACCAGACAAGATCAGACATTACATCACCACCACAGCTAGGGAGGCAGGTATGTTTCTCTGAGAGACTGAGATCTGGCTGACGAGAGAGGTGAGATATGGTTGCACCTGTCAGGGGAAGCACTGGTGAAGTCCTGGGGTACAGAACTTCTGGCCAACTCCTCCATGTTTGGGAGCATGGTTCTGGTGGCTTTGCCTGACGCAGTCGGCTGGACGTGGTCACCAGAACATGGAACGTTCACAGGTCCATTTGACTACAGCCACGCCGAGCTTCTCCAGGACAAGCTCTACCACAACCACCAGATCGAGGTAAACACCCCTTCCCTTTAAGAATCAACTAGTGAATGGTAAACGATCCTCACCAATGGTTGTTAATGTCCAAAATTCCGCAGCTATATATGACAAGGATGTTAAGCTCTTGGTTTTCGTATGATCATCCCTCCACTACAGGCTCCAGTAAAGGCCATCCAAGGCAGACTGTACGTCAGGATATCAGCTCATATATACAACACGGCCCAGGACTATGCCAAGCTAGCTGCCGCAGTCAATGAGATCAACACACAAAAACTATCAATGAGCGGATAAAAACATGTTGATTGCGACTATTACTGAAACCCAAATCTGTTTTTTGTGGTTATCAAAAGTGTCTTGAGGTGAGGTCGATAAGAGTGGCACACCCGGGAGGGTCCTCGTTCAAGGCAGCTCGCACCCTCTCCCCACACTCCCCCTCCACCTTCTCCCATCTCCACCTGGTGGCCCCGCCCACCTCCAGCTCTCCTGGCGGTGGAAGCCGGACGAGGAGGGAGAGACAGAACCCGTCTCGCCACCCGGCCTTTCCAACGTGCTCCACATGAACCACACCCACCACTCTGAACTCGCCCTCGTAACCACACCCCTGAGGATTATGCAATGGGAGACAATTAGTACAATGTAGTCGCATGTAACCCTGACTGTAATGATACTGTAGAACAACTCCCTTAGCCAAAAACATAAAAGAAAAGGGGAGGGCAATTATTAGGAATAGCGACAGCAAGATAAGGGATAGGAAGAGCGAGACAGGTATATATAAGGCCAGTGAAAGTGAGGGTAGTTACTGACCTTGAGTGTCTTGGTGACGGCAGCCTGTATACCTCCCTCGTGGTAGTGGGTGAAGAGAGAGACTGGCAGACGAGGCCCTCCCTCTCCTCCCCGCACCAGGCCCTCCAGGCAACCAGTCGAGCTCTCTCTCACCACTACCAGTCTCAGGGAGCAGCTGACGTGTCCCACGGCAACGGGGGTTCCCCTGTACGGCTTCCCTCCTCCGTACCACCGCCTGGCAATGGAGATCAGCTTCAGGACGTCGTGGGCTCTCAGCTCGACCTGCAGGACAGGCACAGAATCAGTGGCATGGTTTTTATTGTGTCCTAAGAAGAGGTTCTGTGTCATTAGGGTCAACTCTACATACAATTTACTAAGGGCTCAGGGAAGCTGGTTGGATATTATGTCAGGGAGCAGGGGAATGGTATTGAGAGAAGAGGAGTCATCAATGATGGTATTGCTGGACCAGTTGTTTGCACACAGGCCGGGCTATGAGACCTGATGTTGCTGCAGCAGACCTCCTGCAAGCCTGCCTCTATACCGACACACCCTGTTACCAGCTCGTGACACAACACCATTTCAAGTGAAGGCAGCTATACATAGTAATATAGTGGGGAAGGGTGCAGTCTTGCCTATATAGGCTAGGTGTATACTGACTGAGCTAATACAGTGGAACCCCTCTAATCAGGGAAAGAAGTCAATATTAGTGAGGAGCACTTGTTTTAGAGGTTTATGCAAGAAACTGTTCTGGGGGGGAAAGGTGTCGATATTTGTGAGGTGCTGGGGTTTCCTCAGAGAGGGTTCCACTGTAGAGACTACATTCCTAAAATTTTTACTCATCCTAGAAATTTTTACTCATCCTCTGAATGAGAATGTGTTTTTATTAAAGAGGACCCACTGAGTGTAGGAGTTTCGTCTTTTCTGCTGGCTGCCACTGTGCCTGCAGACTTTCCCGGTCGGCCTCGGCAACCGTCTTCAGAGCTCCGCCCACTATCCGCCCTCCGAGAGTGAACCGGACCCAAGAGTGGGCGTGGCACTCAATGCAGAGGAGGGCTTCTGGTTCAAAGTCCAGCCCAGACTCTTCCTTCACTTCCCTCTTGACAGCATCCTGGGAAAATGAATCTTTTACTCCTATCTCGCTCCAAAAATCTCGCCGTCTCCCCTATATATCTCACCCACCACGATGCTCTCGTTCCTCTCCATTCTACCTGCTGGCAGGTACCACTTCCCTCTACACGAGGCCTTGGCCTCCTGCACCATCAGAACACGTCCTCCGTCAATGACGACGCCGCACACGATGTAGCAGACGTTGCGGAACAGCTCCAGGTCTAGAGAGAGAGAGAGAGAGGGAGAAAGGAGACCCTAGAAACACGTCCGCTAGCCGGCTGTCTCTTTGCGTAAAGACGGGCAGGCTAGCATGCCAGACCCTCTCTCTCCTTGCGGGAGAGTCTGGCCTGCAATACTAAGTAGCTGGGAAGTGCAGAGAGGCGGCGTCCGCCATTGCATCTGGCTATATCACCCATGTTTGCCGATCTTGGGTCTGGATCCCTGGGCTCCGCGGTCGGCTGCCCAGTCAGAACAGCCACTATCTCCTCCATCGATAAACACGCCCTCTCTAGCTCAGACGGCTCTGCAACCACCTCACCGAGCAACGAGGAAGGCCCTCAGAAGGCTGCTGCCTGGAGAGAAGGCGTGGCTCCCAGCTCGATTACATAATCTCATGTTCGTACGCGCATGCTCATAGGTCGTCCCCGCCTCATTTTATAAACCTGGACATCTCTATCCCAGCAGCCAACGCAGCTAAGGATCGATGTTCAACATGTAAGATACAGCTGAAAAATTTACATTGGCACACACAATAACTAAGTGATCCCACGAAAATATTGAGTGAAATTAACTTTGTATATAAACATGGACGAAAGAATGCACTAAACACTATCGTGGTATGAAAAAATTTAGAGGTGAAATAATTGGGAGAGGGGGGAGTGGGGTTGAGGGGGTCACCAAAACAAAACGACATCCATTACTGCTGCTGTTGCGGCTGCAATATAGAGAGTCATTCATTAATTCCTCACACATACGGAGAGAGAGAGAGAGAAGAGAGACCGACCTGTTGCAGCTGGCTACGCAGCTGCTCGACCTGGAACGCCAGGTAGTTCTTCTCCGTTGAGAGCGAGTTGATCTGTTTCTGGAGATCAGCAATCTGGGTTTTGGAGTCCTTGTCCCTGGCCTCGAGGTGGCGCATTACATTCACCATCTCCTCCCGGGCCTTCCTCTCCTCCTCAAAGTCCAACTGGTACTGCTTCAACTGCAGAGACAGAGACAGAGTATATAGATCGAGAGAGATATCAGTCATGTGTATGTAGTGTTGGAACTATTAAACTACTATTGTGTTACCACTACTGCTACTGTTACCACAGTAACATGTTCACTGCTGCTGTTTTCTTTACTACTACGTGTTTAGCACAGTAAAGACTTAGATAGTTTGAATGAAGTAAAGGGAGACCTGGAGGTCCATGATCTCCTCTCTGCTCTGCAGCCCGTCTCTCTGGCTCTGCAGCCGCTTCTCTCTCTCCTGGATCCTCGCCAGCTCCTCCCCCAACCCCTTCAACTGCTCCTGCTTCTCTGCAAAGCTCCGACGAAGCCCTTCAACCTGCGAACCAAAATAAAACAACTGTCAACACTTCCTCTAACCTCCTCCTATCTCCCCCTCCTCTTCCTCCTTTCTCTCCTTTCTCTCCCTACTCCTCCTACTCACCTGGGTCCTCAGTCTATCTCTCTCCTCAGTGAGGGTCCCGATGCTGGCAGTGTGGTCATCCAGGTCTCGAAGCAGAGAGTTTATCTCAATCGTGTACTCTTCGCACGTCTTCTCTCCTTTTGCCACTTCTTCCTTCAGTCTCCCGGTCAAGGACTGCTCGTTCTTGAGAGCATGTTCTGCTGCCTCTCGGGCCGCGTTTGCAGTCGCCAGTTGACGTTCCAGATTGGTGCACCGCTCTCTTGCCTCCGCACATTCTCTCTGTAGTGACCCACTGGGGAAAAGCAAGGAGAGGGAGAAAGAGGCTTACTAACACAGAGATGAGGGGGAGACCTGGTTTTGCAAACCGTGGATTGCAAATGCCAATTTTCCGGTCAGTTCTTCATGTAAGACAAAGTTTTGAGTCACGAAATTTGCTGGTCAGCATTTTCATTGTTCTTGGCTCGTAACCCATGTTCATAACCTGTTTTTCTTATGGCATACTATGCATTGGGTAACCAACAACAGATTTCGTGACTAAAAACTTAGTCTTATATGAAGTAACAAGGCATTTTCCGTAACACCGTAATATATTGCACACACTGAAATGGAAACAGTGTACTCGGAACTATACAGCCACCAACAACAAGTTGACCTACTCACTAGAGCTAGGGAATTATGGATCGACAGCTGCAACATCAGACCACATGAGCTCTATGAATAAGGGCCACTGAACTATAGTCATAGTTCTTGTAAAATCACAATTAGCTAAGAATGCAGAGCCTATTCACCAGTGATGGATATGGCACAGTGCCTCCATCAAAGGTATAAGGAAAGAACTATAATAACTGGTGCTGGGAGTTGCGCTAATGTTGTGCTAATGTTGTGTTAGCTATGACTAATGATTGTTTCAATTCACCATTGTTCTTGGTGGGTAGCATACAGCTGTTGCCTGACTGCATCTGTCTCCTCTCTCCCTCTCCTTAACTGATCCCTGGACATAATGGAGAAAGTAATACCATGGAACCTCTCTCTAAGGACACCTCATCTTCCCCCAAGAACAGTTCTTGCTTGCACTTTGACCCCTGAAATAAGGACACCTCACTAAAAAAGACTCTTTTGTCCCATTGGTGTCTGGATTAGAGAGGTTCCACTGTATATAGAGTTCAAGAGGTCGTTTGACTTACTGGAGTTCATCATGTGTCCTCTCCCTGGTCTCCTCTGCCACCCTGGCTCTCTCCCTCTCCTCCTCCAGTTGGGCCTCCATCTCACGCACCCTCCCTCTCAGCCCCTCCACCTCTCTCTCCAGTTCCTCTCCTGCCTACCACATCACACACACACACACACACACAGGAGAGAGATATTACTTCAATGCACACTGACACACTATCCATATCGCCAGGGGCTGCACATTATGCTAACTGTTGTGTTTGTTTGAAACAGTCAGTCGGCAAAAAACAACTCGCATGAATGCAAAAGCAAGTCAATAATTATGTGGAATAGCAAAGACGTGTCATGTACACTATTGCAGGTTAAGAAACTTGGACTGGAAACTGCAAGAGGATATTTATACAAAAGAATCCTGTAATCAGGAGAATTGAGTGACACAGGGACTCAACCTTCTCTACTACCAACAATAATTATACATGCCCCAATACCCATGCCTTGCTTATCACTGTTAGCATAAGCCCAGGGGTGGACCAGTAACTAGGACGAGTAACTAGGACAACACTCAACTATTGACTACATTTAAGGTCAGGGAAAACAAAGAGCAGAGATGAGAGAGTAAGAGTAAACAGCAGTGTGGGCTGGAAATGAGTAGAGAGAGATAAATGTATACCTCGGTGGCCTGTTGGAGCTCTTCCCTCTCGATCTGACTCTTCTCCTCTGCTAGTCTCGCCTTCTCTGTCTGCAGCTGGTGGATCTGGAGACTGAATCTCTCCCTCTCCTCCTCCCTCTCCTTCTCTATTTCCCTCTTCTCCTCCTCCAGCCTCTCCCTCATCTCCCTCTCCCTCTCACTCCCCTCCTTGTTCTAAACACACACACACAAGCCGCAGTTCTCAGTCAGCACACAACGCTGTACAATATTGTACCTCTCTCAAGAAGGTATTCTCCTTCTCCAGCTCTACCCGCTTCCCAATGGCCTCAGAGAGTCTAACTTCCAGTCTTTTCTTGGGATCATACGGCTGTCTGAGAATGTTCACTTCTTCTTCAAGACCTGCGATCCTCGACTCACTCCTCTTTAGCATGGTCTCCTTGTTCATTAGTTCCGTCTCCTGGGCCCTCACCGTCTCTTGAAGCTTCAGACTGTTTTTTCTGAGAGGTTCAGTGTCTACTTTCTTCGGTTCTCTGTGCCTCGTCTCCAGCTCTGTGTTCGCCGACTCCAACTCTGCTATCCTCTTGCGTGCCTCCTCCAGCTGCCTCTTCCTCTCGGAGACCTTCGTCTCCAAGGTGTTGACTCTCTGTCGCATCTCCTGCTGCTCGCCGGAGCGAGGGCGTGGTCTCGGAGTAGGCGGAGTCCCACCCGGTTGTCTTTCCATTGAGCCACTGGAAGCCACGCGAGGTAGAGGGCTACTGGGTAGGCCCATCGGTGCAGGGGTCATTGTTGAGTCTGAAGCTATGGTTCTCATGAGAAGAGTGCGTGGTTTGGCAATAGGGGTTTGGGTGGCTGGGTATGGCGTCTGCATATCTCCCTCCCTGCAACAAGGCAAGATGGTGGATTACCCACTCACACAGAGATGAACCCGCTAACGATAGGAGGGTTTGACATAATCATTACATCACAGAGCTCACACATGAACACTGGGGTTTACACAGTTGAAAAGAGGACAGCTGCAAGGGCTCAAAATACGGTGGAAAAGCAGAGGAACAGTGCGCGGGGGAGAGATATAAGCCCGTTCTCTAGGCTTCAACGCAATCATGACATCACCGAGAGAGACGAATGGTGAGCTCACCCCGTATCTCCATCCCTAGACTCCCCGACGGGCGTCAGCATGATCTGGTCTGGAGAGGCGTTATTGGCCGCCGTGGCCGAGTCGTTGCTGTCCAGGTCCACGCTCTCTCTGGACAGGATCTGGAAGGTGCTCCCGCTGCTCTCCATGCTCTCCTGGGACGGGAGGGGGGAGGATGGGATGAGGGTGTCCTCAACATTCCCTGACATAGCGCTCCTTAGAGATATTCACTGCACACACACACAAAAACTCGACCGGAACGGTACTAGCGTATCTGCTACTATTATTCATGTGGCCATGCACTGATTCAGGCGGCTGAGTCACTCTACACACAGTGAAAGCCCACATACACCTTCACAAAAATCCCTGGGTATTCCCCGCATGTGTAGTATGCGGTTTCCACGTACGCATGCGCAACATTTAGTGGGTGGGGCTCAGGTAGAAAATGGCGTCTCGTACGGTTCTGCCGGTGCTTCTGCTGCAAATTTGGCTGCTGCTGACTGGAGTTTCGCAGATATCTGCAATTCAGTGCGACGTGAAGGACTATGGAGCGAAGGGAGACGGGAAAAGCAACGACACGGACGCCTTCATCAAAGCATTTCAAGCCTGCACCGAAAAAGGTTATGCTACGTATCCATGAGGCTGCACGAATCGGCCATGAAAAGAGATTTTCTTCTGTAGGTGAACCGTCCATGGTGTACGTCCCCTCTGGCAGCTACAGTCTGTGGCCACTCGTGTTTGAGAAGACGGAGTGCATGGATCTCTTCTTCAACGTGACTGGTGAGCTGGTGGCCCCCAGCAACCCTGCAGACTACCGCTGGGTCAGGAACGAGAGCTTCCTTCTCTTCAAGGAGTGCGAGAACCTAACCATCCACGGCTGGGGGTTGGGGTCAGTGGATGGGCGGGGCCAGGAATGGTGGGAGATGTACGAGAAACTTGAGCGACCGAAACTGTTGATTCTGGACGACAGTAAAAAAGTTTCGGTCAAAGACATCCATCTCATGAACAGCCCCATGTTTCACATAGTCCCCGAAAACAGTGAGGACGTCCTGATAGAGAATGTATTGATCACTGCCCCTTCTAACAGTCCCAACACTGACGGAATAGATCCTTCGGGATCCCGACACGTCGTGATCAGAAACTGCACCATTGGTACAGGAGACGATAATGTGGCCGTGAAACCTGGCTGTCAGGACGTTCTTGTCGAGAACTGTCTGTTTCAGAGTGGCCATGGCTGTTCCATTGGATCCATTGAGAGCACCGGTGTGCGAGATGTGGTCATGAGGAACATTTCTTTCGTTGGGACAGAGAACGGGGCGCGGATTAAGACATGGCAGGGAGGCAGTGGTCTGGTGGAGAATATCAGTTATATCAACCTCAAGATGAGCAACGTCGGGTTGCCTATCAAGATAAACATGTTCTACTGCCCTGACGGAGGCTGCCACAACCAAACTAAAGGTACATAGGTGATCCACTAGGTAAGAGCATATAAAGTTTGTTCACTATGTATTAAGGTGGGTATTAAGTTTGTTCACTGTGTATTAAGTGGGTATTAAGTTGCTGAGGGTTTATTTATACAGACACTGAAGTAATAGACTGCATTATATATACAGGTGTGACAATCAAGGACATTCTGTTCAGTGGTATAGAGGGGACCCAGAGTGGAGGCGTGGCAGGCCAGCTGTACTGCAGTGACACTGTCCCATGTACCCACATCAAGATGGAGAACATTGACATCCAGTCTGTGAGCACAGGGGAGCTGTGGGGCAGTGGAAACAGGTTTGAGTGCTGGCGAGCGTTCGGCGAGGCTAGCAACGTCAACCCACCCTCTTGTCTCATCCCCGACAAACTTTTAAATTATGATTGATCATAGTTTGGATGTTTGATATAATAATTGTTTAAAAATTGTTGTGACCAGTCTAATTATTGCAGTCAGCTTGCAAGGACACACCTCTCTTCTCTTCCCTCCCTCTCCGGTCCGCCATTCCAATGGTCCCTCTTCTCTCTTCTCACCTTCCCCTCCTCCCTCCTCTCCCTCTCTCTTCTCCATCCTCCTCCTCCCCGTCCCCTGCCTCCCCCTCTCCTCAACTGACCTCCACTATTATGACCAATCTCACTAGTCCCTGTGGCCACACCCATCTGCCCCACCCCATCTCCAAACTCCACCCTCTCAGTCCTCTTCTGATTTCTACTCCTCCAATCTCTGGAAGCTCCTCTTGACTGCCAGTGGCAGGTTCCCATACCAGGGTCCCCAGTTCTGGATCCAGAACATGGGTCTTGGGTTCTGTACTTGGTTCTTGGTCCAGAGTCTCTGTTACCGCGAGGTTTCCCACGTTGGGAGCCTCGGTAGCTGGTGGATCCAGAACGTGGGTTCAATGCCATTCTTGGTTCAGAACTGGAGTTGGGAGAACTGGATTCAGCGCTTTTGGAGTATCGAGAACTAGAGTGAGCGGTTCTGGAGTCTTGAGAACTGGAGTGAGTGGTTCTGGAGTCTTGAGAACTGGAGTGAGTGGTTCTGGAGTCTTGAGAACTGGAGTGAGTGGTTCTGGAGTCTTGAGAACTGGAGTCTTGAGAACTGGAGTGAGTGGTTCTGGAGTCTTGAGAACTGGAGTGAGTGGTTCTGGAGTCTTGAGAACTGGAGTGAGCGGTTCTGGAGTCTTGAGAACTGGAGTGAGCGGTTCTGGAGTCTTGAGAACTGGAGTGAGCGGTTCTGGAGTCTTGAGAACTAGAGTGAGTGGTTCTGGAGTCTTGAGAACTGGAGTGAGTGGTTCTGGAGTCTTGAGAACTGGAGTGAGTGGTTCTGGAGTCTTGAGAACTGGAGTGAGTGGTTCTGGAGTCTTGAGAACTGGAGTGATTGGTTCTGGAGTCTTGAGAACTGGAGTGAGCGGTTCTGGAGTGTGGACTGGTTCTGGAGTGTGGAGAACTGGAGTGAGTGGTTCTAGATTGTGGAGAACTGGAGTGAGTGGTTCTGGAATGAGGTTCTCTCGGGGAAGATTCGGAGTGTTGGTCTGAACTTGGGACTGTGGCTGTCTCGACTTTAGTTCTGCCGTCATCGGTAGGGGGCGGGGCTCTGACCTGTGGATGGCAATCAGAGAATAAAGTATAGTGAAACCTCTGAATAAGGGACAAGTTGGGGAGAGTTCATTCGCCTATTTCCTATTTGGAATGGACTAATGGTATTAGTACAGGGCAGTACCAGAGACAGAGGTGTGTTTCAATCAGAGGGTTCACTTATTCAACTGTACATAGGTCAACCATTCCAGCTAGTTGCCTCCTCCTCACCCATGTCTCGTCTATCACTGCGTCCTTATCACTCAGATCAATGACTCCGCCCCTCTCCTTCTGTCGCTCCAGCATCGCAGCCATATGACTCTGCCACTGCCGGAGAGAGGAACTGGGGACAAAGACAAACTTCTCCTCCTCCTCCTCCTCCTCTTCCCTCTCCTCTCCCTCTCCTCTTACACACACACTGTCTGGAGGCGAAAAACACTAAGTGTCAAATCACGGATGACTATGCTCTGATATGCCATGCTATGCTAACAAATAGAGGCTGTGGCTAATTGAAATTTCACGAAACACTTTCCATGTCTTAAAACTATATAACATGGCCCATTAAAAGTATATATACACAGCTGTGAAAATTTCGGTAGTGTTACTATTTGGTATGGTGTTTCTGCAGACAGGGCACTCCAGCACTCTTTCTCTCTTTCCCTTCCTTCTCCCCATCTCCTCCCTCTCCTCATCGGCCAGCAGTCTCCGGTGGTAGTCGATGTATCGCAGTAGACACAGAGTGTGGAAATAATGGTAACAGTCCGTCTTTCTGAACTCAACCTCCTCTTCCTGCCACCACAGTACATGGGTCATCATCGAGGTTAACAGCAACAATACAACTCCACCTAGGACATCTTTCCCCAACTCTTTTGTTCTTCCATTAGGACACTACGTGATAGCAGGAGCAAACTCCTGACTAGAGGAAAACTTCAGGTTTTCACTACTTAGGCAGTGATCAATAACAATAGCCTGATTCCAACAGGCTAACTAACAGAGTGTGTGTGTGTGTGTGTTTGTGTGTGACTACCGTGAAGTCGGAGAGGCACAGGGCACACTGTCCGCAGGGTCTGTTGTGGTTTGTGAGGCTCTCTTTCACCCACTCAACCATCTGGTACACCATTGGACTCCCCACTAGCTCTGAACAAAGCTCTACCAACCCCTCCCGAATACTGGGGATTATATAGAACAATCGGTAAGTGGTGAGGAAGGGAGGGAGGCTGATCTCACTTGGTTAGGTGAGCATCGGCCAAGCCCCGAGACTGCAACAGATTCAGAGTGGGCGGAGTCTGAGGGTACGTGGCCGGGATACCTAAACAGAGGTCAAGGTACACGAACTGTTGCTCCTTATCATCGGCAGTACTGGGTGTCAGGTGGAACTCCAGACTGGTAGTCTCTCTGTGGTGGGAGGGGAGGGACCTAACTCCACCATTTCCACCATAACTGGTCGAGAAACGGCGAGAAAGAGGTGACGTTACCCGTCTGTTCTCAACATCTTCATCTCCTCCGTGTACACGTTGCTCAAGAGCTCCAGCTCCTCGCTGATTGGGCTGAGAGAGACGACACTTACACACCCCTCTTCGTGTCTTCTCAAGGCTCACCTCTCTGAGTCCTGGTGACACAGCTCCGTTCTTGTGAGAAGGAGAGACGCCATTATTATCGTTGCGCAACAACAATAAGCGCAAAGTTCGGCGGTAAGCGCTCATTTGTGGTAACTAAGCGTCCAGGTGGGATGGAGCAGGTGAAGGAGAATAGCTGGCTCCTAAATCATCCTAAAGTAAGTACACACCTTTAAAATGCACTGGTTAGAGTCTCTGTTTTTCTGCATATGCAGCTGCTAGAGATGCAGAGCTATGGTCTGGGGAACAGTGCCCAGATTCAGGCAGCCCTGCTGACCTACCTGGACCTCACTGAAGGTGGGGTTGAACTATAGCTACAGAGAGTGGTGAAATGGATGGTCTGCAGTCAAACTGTGGGGTGAGGTGAAGGTACACTCCTGTCAAGATCTGAAGATCATCTATCTTACAGCCAGGGAAAAAGAGGAGGTGGGCGTTTAGAGAAAAATTGTCTCTAAAATAATTCTTACAACATTGGTCACAGAGTCCTGTTCGTGTGGTGGTACCATTGCCTTCCACTGAACCTCTCTCCATGGAACAGTGAGTATATAGACAATGAACACACTCCGTCCCTCCACACCTTGTAGTTCTTACTCCAGTCTCTCCAGACTCCACTCTGCCACCAGGAGGGAAGGGGAGTCAGCAGAGGGGAGGGAGTCAGCTGTCAGTGAGGAAGAGGAGGTCCAAGAAGGGGTGACACTGGCTCTAGTAGGAAGAGATTCATCAATCCTCTACTGCCAAATGTGGCCTGGGGTCCACCTCCCAATTTCCTGATCTCTCAACTATTTTTATCGTCCTTTTTTCTCTCTTTACATTATCATTGTCTTTTCCTCCTCCCGCTGCTCTTCGCGTGGAGTATAGTAATTAGCAGAGAATAATTATCATCAGGGCACTGTTATAAAATGTACAGACATGTATGGAGTGTTGATTGCATAACTGGCCAGTATGACTGCATGTTATATAATACACAGTGAAATGTGAAATGCAATGATAATGTTGTGTGAAGTAAATGACTTGATCATTAGTGCTCATTAAAAATCGCTCCAATTATGGAGCAAATGTAAATTTTATCCTGTACAAATTGCACTGATGTAATGTTTATTAATCACACGTGTGTTGCTGGTTCGCTCAGAATGGCTTCATGACATACTGTGTCCCAGAGGAATGGAGGAAATGATTGGTGGGGGCATACCCCAGCGAGGCTCCGCCCCCATACCCCATCTGGGTGGAGGCTTGCTGGGCGGCGGGGGAAGGGGTGTACGAGGAGAGGGCGGAGACTGGGTGTGGCTGGTGGTGGTATGGTTTCGACTGCTCCTGGATCTGAAGGTACATCGCCAACATGTGGTCCTTGTTTAGCAGATCCTGCAGAATATTATAATATTGGACTCTTCATAATAAGTTTCGTCAATCGCTTAAAAAAAGTGAAAATACTTTTCCATTTCGCTCCAAACGCTCACATTGCCATCTTATGTAACACAATGTAACTGCATAATGTGTGCTGAGATATTATTCGGAACGATAGAGCACCAGTTGAAACATTAATAATTCGGGCAGTCTTTCACCTGAGCCAATGGCTGCTGTTGCTGTAGATACACGCCATGTCTCCTGACAGTCTGCTGAGGGGGCGGGGCTTGAGCCGGCTGGTGGATTACGTAACTCCCCGACATGGGGCCAGACTGGAGACTGCTGGCGAGGTCACCAGAGTACTGCGGCCCACTCCAGTTGGTGTACTGGTAGGTGGGCGTGGCAGGAGATGGGGTGTAGTAGGCTGGCTGCTGGGCTGACCCGGCAGGGAACATCTGGACCTGCTGCTAGGGAGGAAGGTAAGAGAGAGAGAGAGAGAGAGAGAGGAGAGGAGGGAGATAGAGAGAGGAGAGGAGGGAGAGAGAGAAGAGAGAGAGGAGGGAGAGCAGTGAATTTGTCTTCAGACACACACACACACACACTCTTTTAAAAAAATGCGTATATACCCTGTAAAATTCAAGGAGTTTTTCTCTTCCAGTATTAGTGTTTACCTGAACTTGTGTGGCGTAGTGCTGGAGCTGCTGGGTGGCAGGGTAGGTGTCAGTGGACGTGCTGTACAGCAGGCCACTGTGGGCTGGGGAGTGGGGGACAAGAGGAGGTGGAGCTCCAGTCACCTGGCTCGAGCCCTTCGCCTTCTCTTTCGCCAGCTGCGACTCCAACTGACGAATCTTCTCCTTCATCGCCTCGATCTCCGACTCTTCTCCCGTGACCCTCACCTCCCCTCCTCCTCCTACTCCACTAGCTCGAACCCCTTCACTCCCTCCACCTATTGCGGTCAACAAATACATCGACGAAAATTATTTTTTTACGAAGTAAACTTATTTTTCTCTCCAACCACACTAGTTACAGGTATACACACTGTACCTGGGGTGTACTGAGTGGAGGTCTGCAGTGACGCAGGGTCCAAAGTTCGACTCTGGCTAGATGACGAGGAATGAGGGAGGAGACTGGACTGCGACGTGGAGTACTGGGGATAGGACTCTGACGAGATGTAGCCACCGGCACTGCTGGCCCCGCCCACTGCCGAATAGGGTGTGGTCTCGTAGTAGGTGGGGTCTTTAAGTTGAAGGTGAGACATCTGACCAGCCAGACCACTCCCTTCTGCCTCAGCCCCTCCCCCCTCTCCCCCTTTCACAACCTCTCCGGGCAGTGACTCCCCAACATACACACCTGAACTCCCACTCACACTGGACACCACGACGTGCTGCTGATCGGGAGGGGCATGGTCTGTGTGGTTGTCATGGTGATGCATTCGTTGCTCGGCAGCGGGGTGTGGCTCCTGTACGTAAGTCGCAGTAGCAGTGGCCACTTGTCTGCGGCCGGTGGAAGAGTAAGTCTCGTACTGCACGGGGGCCTGGGTCTGGAGGTAACCTGCAGAGGAGTAATGCTGCTGAGTCCCGTCGTCTGACGTGTAACATGGCTGCTGTATGTTCCTCTTGATGTCTGAGTGTGCCTGCTTGATTGACTCCAGGGCCGCAGGGGGCTGAGAGAGAGAGAAGACGTGTTTGCAAGGGAGGGGAGGAACAAATGTCATTTCCAGTCGACAGGCAGTGTCCTCACTTACCCCAGTTGTAAGGTAGCTGGGATGGAGAGATCGTGAGTATCGTCTGCCGTCACTAGCCACACCCACCACGGAATAGTCATCTGGAATACTGTCACTCCCTGAAGGAGAGAGAGAGTAAGGCAGTGAGTATATACCACACACTGACACAACAATTTTTCGCATTTTTGCTGTGTGAACCTAATACCAATCATCTACACTCCAAAACCTCTGCGGCAGTGTAAATCTTCAACTTTATGCATCCACATGTACACACAGCTTCATTGAAGCCAATTGCTAGAGAAAGCAATCAGTTGATTGACTTACGTCTGAAGTAGTTGGGATCTATTGCAGAATCATAGACTGCAGCTATCTGCTCCCCACTGAGAGTCAGCGGACCAGAGTGATGGGGACTTCTATAGGCCACCAGCTGGGGCTGCAGGTCACATGACACTCACATGCTGTCACATGATACACAACGTACATATACCTGAGCAGAGATGATGGTGGTGGGGTCAGAGGTCAAATTGGTCGGTTGTCTCACGACTTGTTGCAGGACAATGGAGGCTGTACCACCGACAGCTGGAAGTGGAGTGAGATAGAGAGCAACACATCAGAGATTTTCTTTGAAACAGAGAGAGAGAGAGAGAGAGAGAGAGAGAGGCATACCAGCCGTAGGCATCGTGGAGTATTCAGAGTATCCCTGAGGTACTCCGACAGCTTCTCCCCCAGTGGGGTAACCATGGCTGGCTCCGCCCGCTCCCGGAAACCCCGAACCCATGCCCTCGTACGAGGGCCCCAGCGACGAGAAAGGGGAGGAGTCCAGTCTATTGCCGACGTCTCCAGACCAGCATCCAGTTCCAGTGCGGGATGGAATGGACTGGGGACCAGACACAGGTCTTCCTAGCTCCCTAGACTTGTTCTTCGCTCCCCTCGCCAGGTGGCGGTACCTGTGGTTGCCATGGAAACCAGTCAACCACGAGGAATCCCAATGATGCTCAGAAATGCAAGAAAGGCATGGCACAGAGAAGGGCTCACTATTTGTTTTCTCCTCATATGGCATGCAGGAGGCGCAGCAAGTGTGTATGTTTTTGTTGCCGAGTAACCAACTACTAACAATTGATTGGGCATGTATGTACACGCATTAAAAATGCAGTTCCCTCCCACCGCCACACAGACACACTCTCTGCCCCCTCTCTCCTTCTGTCAGCTCACCTGTCTCTTTCTTCCTCCGTGTGAGCGTAGGTACATTTCTCTCCCTTCGGGCACCCGCCAGGTTTAGTGATGTTTGGACAGAGTCCGGTTTTGTAGCGGCCACTCTGAATCTGACCAACACCACACACACAGAGAGGGGGGGAGAGAGAGAGAGAGAGGACGAGGGAGTAATGAGGGAGTTAGTATAGCTACAAGTTAAAAGTCACTGCCTTCCTAATGTGCTGATTCAGTTACAACTTTGTGCCTTATTAACATGCTAATGCTGACTTCCGCATCCCCCAACATTAGTTCTTAAACCCATGCACATTAGGAACTGGGCTGTCCAATACATGTACAGTACATCAAACACTTATTTGTTAGCCAAGGACCTTGTTCCATAATATTGTACACACCCACCCACTGCAGTTGTATATAACTGGTTGTTAGCCTAAAAAGACCACGGGAAGCCCCCCCCACTAACCCACCCCACTTCTCTCCACATGACAGTCTGTAATGGTGACCACAGACAATAGGCTGGTAAAGGTATCATCATATTATGTAATACCTAATAGACACACACATAGTACGTAGTACAGTGAGAAGTAGCAATGAGATACTACCTGGCTGGCATTGGGCCCCGTATGGCTATCCTGCATGTACAGCTGGAGCGATAGGGAAGTGGAGCAGATAGGCACACACTATTGCAAACAGAACAACGCGCCTGCCACGTCCGCTGCCTCTGTTACAATAACACTGCCTATAGCCTCATAGTACGCTCTTCATAGGCTTTCAGTCTGTTCTCCATAGGCTTTCGCAGTGTCTGTTCTCCATAGGCTTTCGCAGTGTTCATAGGCTTGGTGTGCTGTTCACAGGCTTATATATACGCTCTTTATATGCTTGTATTGTGCATTGTATGCTCTTTGAAGCTCCGTGAGGCCCTTTGGTCTCATTCCAGCCCAGCTGGCTGGCTCGGTTCCATTCCAAACCTGAGAGGCAGCGAACATAGGAGGCAAAGGGCACACAAAAGACCACCCAACACAGGCTCTTGGCTCCACCACACCACAAAGTCTCCTGAACTGGAATATCCCACTCGATGCCGGTGGGGAACGGCCTAAAGAAGGCTCAATCCTACTTCCCCTCCCTCCTCTTCTCCCTTCCTCCCCGGCCCCCAACTCACCCTCATGAACGAAGAGTACTCGTGAAGCATGGCTACCAGAGCAGCCATCGTCTCTGAAAAGAACGCCCACTGCTCCACTTCTGACGAGCCTGAAGGAAGAGAAGGAGGTGGAGGAGAAAGGGAGGTGGAGGAACGGATAAATTCCTTTGCAATTCTAAAATTCCCACGAAGCATTCTTCAAATATCTACATGTCGAGGAAGTAAATAGAGGTGTGTGTGTGTGTGTGTGTGTGTGTGAGAGAGAGAGAGAGAGAGAGAGAGAGAGAGAGAGAGAGAGAGAGAGAGAGAGCAACTATTGAAGGTGGAACCCACTCTTGTCTATGTTGATGTCGACACGCAGCAGTCTCTCGAGATGAGGGACAATCTTCTCCAGCAAGCTGTGTTGGTCCTGGGATCGGCGTATGGCGACTATTAGCTCACTGAGGCCGGAGGTGGCTATCCCTTGAGAGAGGAGCTGGGGGGAGGGTGGTAAGGAGAGGAGGAAAGGGGGGCAGGGGGAGGGTGGTAAGGAGAAGTTTACCCACTGTAGATATACGCGACACTGTTTAGAGCTAAGTACATTTAAATCTAATTTTTCGCGCATGTGCAGTGGTCACACCCATACGCATTAGAGGGGGGGGCTTGGGGGCCCTTAGTACCATCCTCACTGGCCTCAAATGCCGGCAGCTCAGGGCCCCCGCGGCTCTCTAATGCACACCCGGCATATAACCTATATAGAGTGAGAGTTGAGGTGGCCAATGACATCAAAATGGGACTGCCTCAAAGTCATGTCAACAGCTGTGCCTTGTCATCCCAATGAATTCCACAAATACCACACCACAGATACAGCTCTCTCAGGTAAGGTGGTCACTCAGTCGCACCACCAGCCACGACAAAAGACTCTCACAACCCACACTCCCAGTCAAACCTAACCAGCAAGGTTTCATCATAACCACTACAGTGGAACTTCTTTACTAAGGAAACCCCTGAAATGAGTACACCTCTCTAGCAAGAACACCTCTTCTTCCCCAAGAACAGTTCTTGCTCAACCTCTGAAACAAGGACACCACACACGGATGACATCGCCAAGAGTAACAGCTGCTATATATGAACGTGATAGTGGGTTTACCTTGTCGATGATGGACTGCATGTCTGACTTGTGTTTCTGGTCGCCATAGAGCAGGGCAGACCACTGCTCCGGGCTGATCCTCAGTCCACTCTCCATGGCAACTCGAATTATCTGGGCATCGTGCTCTCGACGCAGAGCCTCGTACGTCCGAAACTACAGCGTCACAGAAATAGGGAGAGGGAAAAGGGAGGTGAAAGGTGTGTAAATAGGAGTATGTGTGGGTGTGAATTGTAATCAGTCCCAAAACAAGTCCAGGAAGTAAGGCTGCGTTTACACACCAAAGGTCACCCAGAGGAGACATTCCTCAGTTACACAGCTAACCAGTCAAGCCCAGTCTCAATGGCACTATTCCTCCACAAGTCCCTGCTGCTATATACATGTGCTAATGCTGAAGTGAGCTGATGCTAATGTAAACTGGCAGAGAGCAGCTATAGCAAAATGCTAGTCCCCCACCTGCTGATGTTCAGTAACAATAGCTTAATAGCTTACACTAAGACATGAAGGAGAGCTGGCCCAACACACTTCTCCTAATTAACCCCTCCATTTTGTTCTCACCACTCACCTCCTCCTTGAGTTGCATTCTAGAAGAATCTTCGTCTCTTTTCTCAACCTTTACAGATAAAAGAGAAAGAGAAAGAGGAGAATGAGAGACGCGAGGTGGCGGCAAACAAGCCAACGTTGGTGGGAGTAAACTACAAAGACGGCGCCACAAAGCCACATTGACAAGGCTTCTATACATGATGTACACCACAACCAACACTACCATGACAACAGAGAGACGGAAAAGGCAGGAACGCACGCACATCATATCAACACACAATATGTAGCTGAGAGGTATGGTGTGTAGGGGAGAGAGGTTAGGGAGGAGAGAGAGGGAGAGAAGTGATAGGGGATGGAAGAAAATAGGAGGAGAGGAGAGGGAGAAGGCTCACGTTGAAGCAAGAAGCTCTGTAGAGAAGCTGGACGACATGTCCCACACTGGTCTTGGAGGCCTGGTGAAACTCCTGCTGCTGGAGCTGCTGAACCACGTAGAGGACAATGTTCTTGCGAGAGAGGAAAGCCCCTCCTTCCAGGACCTTCAGGATCAGCTTGAGAGCCTCTTCCTGCATGACGGGCCCGAGGAACTGGCAACCGCGGCTCCGGATGGCGGACCAGAGCAGAGTGGAGATCTGCTGCTGGTTCTGGTGCATCACCAGCAGCTCCGTGACCGTGCGGTCCGTAATGGAGCGAGTCGCGCGGAGAACTCGCGCCCGGCCATCCGCCTCCAGGAACTGACAGCTGACGACAGTCACCAACTTCTTGAGCATGGGGCGAGTGAGGTAATGGATGATCTGACTGCTGCCGGGCTCCGCTAGAGGCTGGAGGTACACAGCTGCTTTCCTGATAGAGTTGCGCGAGGATTTGAACAGCTCCAGGTCCTCGGGGGTGAGCCCGAGGAGGGAGAAGTCACCAGACTCACAACTCTCTCCCTCCTCCCCTCCTCCTCCATCGCCTAGGAGCCAGAGCAGAGCGCTGTTATGGGGGAGCCGCTCGGCATTGGGACTAATTGCCGTCTTATCGTAGGGGCAGACCCGTGACATGAACTCTGTGAGGCATTTCTTGCAGATGATGTGTCCGCAGCTGAGGCTAATGGGGAGGAGGGAGGTCGTGTTGTAGCGGTTTGTGCAGACGGAGCACTGGAGGAAGTCGGTCCAGCTGGGCGCTTGCATTTTGTATTGTGGAAGAAGTGTTTGGGTTCGTGGAGAACCGAGGGAGGGAGGGAGGGAGGTGGAGGAGGGGTAGGGGGTACTGACCGCAGGGATCAAGAGGCTTTGCAACGTAGCTGCTTACTGGCGAGTGTCACGGACAAAACACACACGCCCTGTTTTCTGGAAACAAGATGAGAAGGAGACGAGGAGGTTTGAGCATCCTCTGTCACCAGTGCTCAGCAGTGCAGGTTGGTCTGGAGGAGGGAATGCACAGTCACGTGTAAGCAGTGACACCCACAGCATACACACAAACACCAGTTTCTCGGTCGCTCTCTCCCGATTCCTAGCTTTCGCTGTTCGCAGAGTCGCAAACTACTAGCTGCGCGGTACCCCACAACGGCGCAGATTCTCCCGCAAACTGCAAATTCACACCCAACGTCGCACACCGTCCATTTAGCGCTCACCCGGACTTCTTGTAGAGCCAGGGCTCCTTCCTTCTCATGGCGTCAGTTCTCCAGAAACAAGATCCCCGTGCCTTCTTCTGGTCGTTGACTTCTTATCTTCCCGGCTTCACTCGCAAATAACGGACGGAGAGCGCAGATGTGCTACACAACCGTTCCTTTTAGCGGTTGCGTGCTCTCTGTTGCAAAAGATCGTGACGTTTTCCGGGAATATATATACGGAAATATCCGGTAGCGCGTAACGACTTCCGGTAACTCGGGGCGCGCGACACACAAAAACATAGGTGATGACACATTTATCATATTTTCGGAAGTTTTGTCGCCACAACAAGGGGGTTGCCCCTGGCAATTGTCTCTCTGCCGTGTGACTTGTAGTCAAAGGAGCAGTTGTGGGACTCGGCATAGCGATGTCGCGAGCAAAACACCCTGCCACACCTGCACACGAGTACAAGGAGACATACGTGTACTCACACAAACTGTGAAACACTGTATAAACATACCTGCATGTGTATGTGGCAGCCAGCCCAACTTTCTTGCCACAGTGTGCACACTGGGGCCGAGTGTGACTCCGCCCACTTCCTGTCAGACAGGAGGCGTGGCCTAGCGATATTTCAGGAAGTCGAGGTACCCCAGAGCCGCCTGTGGGTGGAGTTCATGTGGAGTGACAGTGGAGAAATTGTTAGAGCACTCACTGAGGTTGGGTTGGTGAGAATGAGAAGATGAGGAAGAGGAGAGTTTGGGCAGCAGTGGTCTCTCTGTTACACCTCTCTTTCTCTGGCCTCTCTTCTCCCCAGTCTCCCTCAGTCCCAGCTGGGTCATCTCTAGAGCCAGCTCACCTACTGCACAACACACACACGCCAAATAATCAGCAATTGAAACTAGAAACCACTGCAGATTGTGTGTACGTAGTGACTATATAGTGAGAGCTTCTATGATCTACAAAAAGGATATTTTGTTGGCTAGAGCTCACCGTCTGTGTGGCAGTGTTTGAGTGACTTGTCGGCGAGGCAGCTTGGTCGGCGCAGTCGTTGTCTTCGTCTCCAGCCTCTCTGGTGTCTGTCTGTCAGTCTGAGGGGGTGGTGACCCGAGTGGTGACCCGAGGAGGACACACTGTGCTCTGAGGCTCCAGGACACACTCTCTGCTAGATGGAGCAGATTTCACACACATCCGTTAAATATTTCTCCCAAAATTTTACCAGTTTGTAGATTAAGACAGGAAAGTAATCTGCTAGTATGTCAGTACCGATCAATGTCTATGTTTTATCCAACATTTCCTGCTACTTGGAAGATAGATGTTTTGGTGCACACCTCAGTGGTCTTGTGATGAGAGACATGGCATCCCTGTTCTCCTCGTGACTCTGTACATGTCCCAGTGTTTTGTGAGTACACCAGTTTCCTGTGGACTGTTCAATACAGGGATGAGAGGAGCGGGGAGAGGAGGGAAGAATTGGGTATATATATACCTGCTGATTGGGTGCTGGAGCTGGTGGGTGTGGCCACTTGGTGTGGTGTGACTGGAGAGGGTGCGGAGGAGTGGAGGATTTGACTTGGAGATCGACTGTCCAGAATAAACCTGTATGTCGTGCACCACCCATCACTACATGTAATAGACAGAGGAGGAGGAGTTGTTAACTCACAGTTTAGTAGAGGTGCCTCTTCTGTGAAGGTGGGGGTCATTGTCGCCAGTCTGTAGCAGGTGTACATGAGAGAGAGCATGCAGCGACTGTGGATGAGGCGATGATTACCATGTACCTCCAATGAGGGCAGCTTCCGGGTGCTCCTCAGGCGAGTCATTAGGTCTTGCATCTTGGTACGAGTAGCCTACGGGCAGACGGGTGACCACGGAGACACCAATGAGATTGCAAGGCAAAGAGGAGAAGGGATAGAGAGAGCAGACCTTGCTAAGTGCAGTAGAGGATGCTGTGTCCTCAGTGGCAGTGGCCTGTGGGAGAGGACTGGAGAGATGGGGACAGAGATGAATGATGTGGGAGAAAGAGAGAGAGAGACTTGTATATACCTCACGTGCCCTGGACTCTCTTCCGCAACTACATCAACAAACTCTGCCATTTCCAACGCATCTTCCTCCCTGAGACACACACACAAACACAGATGAGCTCTGAATGATATTATGGTGAGTGTTCAGCAGACTCACGTGAGCAGCATCACTGTGTACTTGTGGTCAGAGTCCTGGGCCTCGAGGACCTCTGCTATCTCTAGCAGAGTTGGGTCCTCCAGTTGAACTGCAGGTGTGTGTGTGTGTGTGTGTTGTGAGAGAAGGAAGAGAGGTAAGGCTGCTGTGTTTACAAACAGCTGTGAATTCTAGTGGACCTGTACAAACCTCTGTGAGCGTGTATCGGTCCTCCTCGCATGGCTACCAGAAGCTTCAGTTGGGCCCCTGACCCGATGCTGTACTCCTCCAGACAAAACTCATCGTGGAGCTCCGTGTTCCCGTGAACCAGCTGCTGCTGGTACACCGGGATCCCTGGGGACGACAGGGGGGTAATGGGTTGGTACACTGCAGGCAGCAGGGGACACACCTTCAAGTCTCTGGATCTTCATTTTGATGCCGAGGATCGTCTCGAACGGACTCACGCACAGGTCGTAGATTGTTCCAGTCAGAGCCTCAATGGTCAACTCGATTATCTGTTCGTTCAACTCGCTCATGCTGGCCAGAGACCCAAGCCAAGGTCGCTACTTTCACACTACTCTGCTGTGGACTAAGACGCTTGGCCTCGAATCATAGCCTTCTTGGTCAGATCCTGCCTTATAGGTCTCTTTTCCCACCACAAACCGCCTCTCCCACACGGTAGCGAAGTGCCGTGGTGAACGCAAGAGCTCTCAAGCTTCTTGGCTTCGGTTCGTCGTTAGGGTGGAGATTGACCACGCCCATTTGCGCATGCGCACATAATTGGGTAACATCATTCGCCCGTTTTTGACTCGACTTTGTAGTTTCGGAGAATAGCCAAAGAAGAGAACATGAGGATTTCTATGTTTTTATGTGTTATTGTGTGCTTGGCATGCGCTAGTGTCTTCAGCGGGTAAGGATCCAATGACAAATGTGTTGCGAAACTCTTCTACACTTCTCTCCCAATTTCGTTCTGCAGTCCTTGGGTCGTCGATGCCGAACTAGAGACCAGTAAACTCTCTGAACTCCCACCCGAGCAAGCCGAGAAGAGCCTAAAGTAAATAATGTTCGGGTTATAGCGCTCGTGCGTGGATGCAGTGCGTCGATCGACGGCTTGCAAAAATTATATGGCGGAATTCATGATGATGCCTCGCATCTTGCTTTTTTGCAGGCAACTTGTGCAGAACGTAGACACTGACGGCAGCAATGGAGTGTCTGTATCAGAGATGGTGGAGTGGATGGTGCGACTGGAGAAAGCAGAGACACTGAAAGGTCTGCAAAACCAATTCAGGGAGGCTGATCGCAACAGCAATGGATATGTCACTCTGACAGAATTTGCTCACACCATGGCCAGCATTGGTGAGTCTTCATGGGTCTTGGTCTGGTGCACCTTAGTTACTGGAATGTACCACAATTCCATTTTCCAACACACTACCTGCACTAACCAGTACTCGTAGCATTAACAGAGTTTTTGGGTTGTTGACTGGTTGCTCTGCTGTCTCTGCATGGCTTCCATGTGTAGCTATATGATTGAAGCCTCCTGCCAAACTGTATGCAGATAAGGATATGAAGGTCCGAATGGATGAGGTGCTCGCATACTCTCGTCCAATTTTCAACGGAGCAGATGAAGATAAAGATGGACAATTGAGCATCGAGGAGTACGCAGCATTTATGCACCCTGAACTTCACATCCATATGGTCGACGTTCTGGTGGAGTCATTTTTGGAACAGTATGATAACAATGACGATGGACATGTCAGCTTCTATGAGTTTATGGGTGAGTAAAACCTCCAATCTCCTTTGCTGGTTTATCTTCTGCTTGACTCTAGCCATTTATATGCCAAAGTCTGCCGATGAGAGAGGGAAAGAGCCAAATTGGGCAGACAACACAAGAGAAATGTTCAGAGAATTTCTGGACACAAACAAAAACGGATTGTGAGTTAGCGCAGCAGCGTGTGACGTAGTATTTGACAAGCTCTGTCTGTGTGGCAGGTTGGACAGGAGCGAGATGAGGAAGTGGGTGGCGACTGAAGTCACCCACAGAGCTCACAGCGAGGCTAGCATGCTCCTTTCTCGGGCTGACAAAGACAAGGTAAGTCACATGATCAAGTCACATTGGATCAGTGTGTAGCACCATTCTCATGAAACTGTGACCCCATGACTGCATAATGTATATATGCAGGATGGAGAGGTGAGTCATAGTGAAGCAGTGAAAGAGTTTGATCTCATCGCAGCCAGCAAACTGGCTCTCCATCACAACGTCCCTCACCAGGAACTCTGACAAATCATCACCTCAGCCAATTATTGCAGGGACTCCTTCATTAATAGATCAACGCAACAATTGTGTGTGTCATTAGATTGTATATATGGAGCATACATGATTGTACATATCAATTATACATTCCACTATAATTCCACAAAAGACACTGGACTATTAAATTAATCAATGTAGAGACGTGAGAGGGTGTGTGGCTAAGAGGAGGGAGTCAGGAAATGGGGGAGTCCATCGTGATCTCTTCGAGCAGTGAGCACATCACACCCAGAGTCCGTCACGACCATCGTGTGTTCAAACTGGGCTGAACGCTTCCCGTCCTGTAAGAGGACAGAGAGGAAGAGATGTCACACAGTCTGTAGCTACTTATACTAACAGCAGTGGTTGAGGTCCAGTCATCTGGCCAAGTTACATCCTTCCACGTACCTATATGAAAATTCACGCCACATGTCTGCATTAGCAGAGAGGTGTTATATCTACCGTGGTTGATCATGGGTTCTATTGTGAAACTATGTCCCGGCTTCATCACACCAATTGCCTTGTTCTCTGTATAATATAGAGACACACATTCTTTTAGCAGAGAGAGATCAGTGACAATTGCAGATTCCTTACTTGAGTAATGGGGTACGTTGGGCACCGTATGGAACAACCTTTTCAAATGTGACGCAAGTCAAATGCGGTCCAATTATTGTGGGAGAGACTCACTGATTGATGCCGTGGCCACAGTAAGATCTCACCACCGAACAGCCGTTGGCCTGTGCATGTTTCTGAATCATATTACCAACATCTCTGTACTTTACTCCAGGTCGAACTGTAGAGTACGAAGAAGACATGAAGATTTGTTCTCTGTGCTAAATTGTGTGCAAATCACACTGACCTATCTCAATGGCCTTCATCATACAGTCATAGGCTGTCTGGACCAGTTGACGACTTGCTTCGTCCACTTTTCCCACAAACATTGTCTCGTTCAGGTCTCCATGGAAACCACTGTAGTAAACAGTCACATCGACTGATGTGTGTGTGTGTGTGAGGTAATACAACGAACTGACGAGAGGGGTTTACCCACTATTGCAGATGTCGCCGTCCTGTAGTTCCCTTGTATCAGGGATCCCGTGGCAGATGACTTCGTTGACTGAGGTACAGCAGGACTTGGGGAAGTGGTAGTAGTTGAGAGGAGAGGGGTAGCAGTCTCGCTCCATGCATGCCTCGTGGACCAGTCGATCTATCTCATCAGTGGTGACGCCTGGACGCACCGCGCGGGCACCGACATCCAGAACCTCTCTACCCAGCTGTGCACGGCATACAGGAGAAGAGAGAGTGTGTGATGAAGGCAATGGCTGCTCACTTACCCGGCAGGCAACCTTGAGGCCTTCAATCTCCTCAGGGGACAGCTGCGTGATCACTGAAGCCCTTTTAGCTTCCTTCTCACCGTGAGGGATACCTGCAACAAAGAGAGAGAAAGATGTATATAGTTGGCAGAATGGATTTGGATGTCTGACCTTCTTCTGCATAGTCAGGTCGAACAATGTGATCTGGGACCGCTCTCTTAGGGGTCTAAAGGAATGTGAGTCACGTGATTGTCACGTGACTGGGCTGAACTCACTAAAGGAGCTGGTCTGAGAGGTCCGGTGAACTCGAAACCAGGCCAGGGGTTGTAGGTGGAGTTTGCACTGCCTGTGAGGATAGGATGGGTGTCTAGAGGTTTGGAAAGTAAAGAGAAGGGGATACCTGCACTGGTTCTTTGGTGAACCACTTTGTGCACCTTCCACGAGCTTTTGAAGCATTCCTGAACCATTCAAGGTTATGAGACCAAGAGTGGACCGCTGAAACACTCACCTGTGCACAGAAGAAGCTCCCCTTTATTCCAAGCTTGAGGCACGTCGGGCACTGGAGCGTGGCCGGCTTCCCACAGCTAATGGTGGAGCAAATGTTCTCCACTTGCGCCACCGCCATTCTAATTAGTCCACATCATCGTCCTGGAATAATTTGGCGCATGCGCACTTTTCCTTCTCTCTCCGAAAGACCTTGGTAAGTCCCATGTGTGGCGGTGTATCTGTTGTAATCCTAGCGAAGCCGGCCGTTCCCTAACTATCTGGTGTACTGCCTAACCCTGCAGAAGATGGCTAACAGGTTAAAGTACCGTAGAAGGCTCTCCTACAACACCAAGTCCAACAAAGTCCGTGTGTAAGTTCGCTAAATCTCTAAGGTGTTTTAGTGTGGTTCATGATGTATACAATACAGGTCTAAGACGCCTGGTGGTAAGCTTGTCTACCTACATATACACAAGCTGGGTACCGTTCCTAAGTGTGGGGATACTGGAGTCAAGTTGAGAGGGGTAAGGTGGCCCCACACACATGAGGTTGTTATCTAAGTGAGCTCAAAATGTTCCAGCTTCCTGCTGTGCGTCCATTTCAACTGAAGAAGCTCTCTCGACCCAAGAAGACAGTCTCGAGGGCATATGGAGGAGTCATCAGCCACAAGGCACTCAGACAGAGGTGTGGTCTCTGCAGTTCTTCCTGAGCATGTGGCTCATGTGTCTGTGTGTGTGATTTGCAGGATAATTAGAGCCTTCCTCATTGAGGAACAGAAGATTGTCATCAGAGCACTAAAGGCACAGCAACAAGCCAAGTAGCCTTTGTACTATTGACCTGTGAAAAATTTTACTTTTGCGCATGCGTGCTGGTTGTCATGCCAACGATTGGGAAACAAAATGGAGGCGGCAGAAGCGGAGTATCTAAAACGGACAGTTGGTTCTTGTCTGAGCGGCGGCCTTGCGGAAGTTGCCGCGAAGAGACCGTCTGATCCTATCGAATACCTAGCGCTCTGGCTGCTGAAATACAAGCAAAACACTCAGCGGCGAGCAGAAGACGGGGCGAGTTTTGCTCACGTTCCAATTAATACCCACCTTATTGCCGATGTGGTGGTGTTCCACAGGCCATACCGGTGGTCCAGCTGAGCGAGGAGGAAGACGAAGGAAGTGCGCCGCCACCTACTGAAGATGCTGCGGTAGAGCTGACCCCTACTGTAGACGTCTCAGGGGATCAGGGAGGTGAAAACCCAGCGTCAAAAACGCCTACAGAGCCAAAATCGCCAACTATGCCGCGAATAGAAGAGGAGGAAGAGAACGCAGGCTAACTGCTGCCTTAGCGCTATCTGTATGTACACTTTCTGTTGTTCGTTCCATGATCACGTTACACACACCTAATTGAAATCTCTTTCAGCAGTTAACCAAAAACACAGTGTGACAACAGTAGTGAGCTACATACAAATCTGGGTATACACATAGTGGTGTTGCAAAGTCAGCAAGGGAAGGACAATAACTAGGGCAGGGAGGTCAGGATGCCGCCCCAGTGCAGCGAGCACAGTGGATCTCCAAGTCGGTCACTGTGGTAAAGTCGTTTCTACCGCACAGGGGGCACGCCACCTCTGGAGCGTTCCTATTCACGACGTCGCCAGGGGCAACCCAATTTTTCCCCTCGGAGGTGCGGGTTGGTCGAAGTTGGCTGGCTGCGGAGACCGGTGCTGGTCCCATGGGTCTCATGGCTCCTGGACCGTGAGGTCCGCCCATCTGCTGTGCCGACACTGGCGGCATCGGTCCAAACCGTGGCTCTGGTGGTGGAATTCCTCCGCCCATTGGGGGCCGGTGGGGATCCATTAGGACAGGGTCCACCCGAGAATTAGGCGGGTAGGGGGAACCCCCAGAATGTTGCCGAGGAGACATCCCTGTTGGCATGGCGACTGGTGGTTGACTAACAGGAGGTGGCCGAGCCTACAAACAACAAACAAATATAATCAAACAAACAAACAAACAAATATATACAAACAAACAAACAAGAAAAGACCTCTAGTGGTAGAGTATGAGTCTAGGAGGACATTCTACCTGAGGGAATGGAGTGGCAGAAGTCACCAGCTCTTGTCCGTGGTGATGAGGTGGCAGACCCTGGATCCCTCCTCCCACATACTGCTGCGGCTGTGACTGGTGGTGATGATGATGAGGCTGCTGCTGTCTATAATCAGGAGCAACATTTCTAGATGGGTGAGTATTTTCATGCATGAGAATAGCTCACAGGATGTTCTGGTGTCTTGGGAAGTTGAAGTCCCCTCCTGGTTTGGGAGGTAGTGGTGGGGCAGCGAGGGGACTAGCAGATGGATCAGTAGGTGCTGGACGAGGTGTTGGAATAGCTCTACCTCCAGACCACACTCTCCCTCCTCCTCCCCCACCTCCCACTGCGCCTGGATCATCGCTCTGTGCGACAAGAAACAAATAAGGAAGGTAGAGTTTCACAGTGTAATTCCCCCACGCACCACGTCAGTGTCAAAGTGTTGGACGGTCTGCAGTTCTGTGAGCTGTTTCTGGAGAGTGGATACCTCGCTGGAGAGTTCATGTTGCCTGCGCTCCGCCATCTCCTTCACCTGGAACGCACTCTCTCTCATCTCACGCTCGCTTCTGAAGTCTGCCATATACTGCTTCAACTGGAGTCACAACACACACACACACACACACACACACATGTGAGTACATGTTCAGCTATTCGGCACCCTCATTTTTTGGTGTCCAAATAATGATTTCGACCTGAATTCGTCAAACATGGAAAGAGAAAGTATGCCAACTAGGATACACGGGAGGTGCCAGACACACAAACAAACCCAGCTTCTTTCGTGCCACATAGCCTAGCTGGCTATTCCAAGCATACACACACACACACTTGCAGGTCCATGTGCTGGAGCTGGTCCTGCAGACTCTGTCTCTCTGCCTCAAGAGCCTTGATTCTCTCAGCCCTCATCGCCAGCTCCCTCATCCCCATGTCGGTCTGGTTCCTGAACCTGTCCCTCTCCTTCTCCAGTAGCTCTATCTTCTTCGCTGCTGTCTGGTAGTCTCCCACCAGCGACTCACACTCCTTCCTGAACTCTCCCGTCACCTTCTGCGTCTTGGTCAGCTCGTTTTTGAGTCTGTCGTTCTCTTGAAGAGTGTCTCTGATACGCGACGCGATCTGATTCTCGTTGGCTCGCAGGTTCTCTTTCTCTGTGGCTAGCGTGAGCAGCTGGCTCTGCAGTTCGCTCCTTATCTGAACACTGATGCAACAATAACAATAACAACAACAACAACAAACATTCATATCAGAGAGTGCTTAATAAGAAGAAAGACAGTTACATACTTAAATATGACGGAAACGTAGGTCTTAGTAGAAACATCCCAAGACGGACAATATTGATATTTTCCTCACAATCTTTTTAACTGGCTTACCTTGCTCTTTGTATGCTAATACATCAGTAATATTGACAGTTATTGTAGTCTCCACTAAGGTCTCCACTCTCACATGTGTAGAGAAAGCATGGACTCTGATGTGATTACATAACTAGATATTACTATTATTATATCTCGGGCCACGTGTACTGTTTGGAATGAGACATTTGCTGATCCGGAGGAAGGGATTGGAACTCACATTTCGCTCTCTTTCTGCTGCAGTTGTGAGCTGGTTCTCCGGAGGTTGGTCCTCAGTTCGGTCACCTCCCCCTCTTTCTCTGAGTGACCTCGCTGGAGGCTCTGCTGCACCATCTCCAGCTCCCTCTCCTTCCCACGCAGAGCCGCCTCTTTCTCGTCAATCTTCTTCTCGTAGTTCTGTTTCTGGACGGCCGTCTCTGCTCGCAGTCTGTCCAGCTCTTCCTGGTGACGGACGGCCGCTTCGACCAGCTCCCTTTCCTTCTCTTGTAGACACCTCTCCACCTCGCTCTTTTGCTGCGTGGCAACCACAGAACACAGTACAAAATCAATTGTAGTATAGTTGTATAAGATATGGGAAAACACCCAAAATAATACACAATTGAAACACAAACGAAACTGAACTGGCTCCGTGGTGTGTGTATGTACAGGCAGGCAGTGAGGTAGCTACACAGAGAGTGTGGCTGACAGTCTCACCTGCTGCAGGTTTCTCACAGTCTCGTCCTCCACGTGGCTCTTCTCCCTCTCCAGTATCTGCACCCGGCTCTCCAGTTCCTCCGTCCTCTGCTTCTCCTGAGGAAACAGAGAGAGAGATGGAGTGGAGTGAGCACTTCCAAGAGGGTGGGTGGACCCACCTGCCTCAGTGAGGTCTCCAGCTTACTCTTTTCCTGTCAGAAAAAGTGACCACACAAGTAAAATTCTACTAAAACGAACGCGAGTGCGAATTTCAATTACGTATGTAGAAAATTGGCTAGTTGTCGAGGACCCACCTTCCTCTCGTTGTCAAAGACACCCTCCAGATGAGCCAGTTTCCCTGCGTAGTCGTTCAGTCTCACCTCCAGAGGCTTTGGTTTCAGTTTACCCGGCCCACTCTGACTCCCTCTGAGAGTGGTCAGCTCCTCTTGTGTCTCAGCCAGTTTCGTCTCCGTTTCTATCTTCGCGTCCACCGCCTCCTTCTTCTCCTTCTCCAGCTCTGCCAACGCGGCCTCGGCTCGCGAATTCTCTCTCTTCAGTCGCTCTACCTCCAGTTCCAGCTCTCCTTGCTCCCTCCCTCCCCCTCCCCCGGTTCCCAGCTGGGCCTGTAGCTGGTTGTTCTTCATCAGAAGCTCCTGAATCTTTGTCCGCTTGACCTGGACCTCAGTCTCCACCCCCTCCCTCGTTCGTCTCTCCCTCTCATAGTTGCTCCTGGTTGTCGCCAGCTCAGTCTGAAGAGACTCAATCTCTGACTTGAGTTGGGCGATGTCTCCGCGAGGTTTCGGGACCGGCACCTCGGCTTTCTGGCCTCTCAGCTGGTCCTCCATGCTCATCATCTTGGTCGTGCTGTCCTTCACCTTCGACTCGGACATTTCCGACTTCTTCTTGTATTTCTCCGCCTCCTTCTGGACATCTCGCATGTCTTGATTCAGTTTGCTGATCTCTGCATGTGCCAATGTTAGCTGCATGCCAAGCTCCTGCGCTCTGGCCTGGACGAAGAGGAAGACAGAGGATTAAAACATAAAGGTGTAAATTGTTTCTCGTGCGCAGCAGTTTTTTTCCTAAATGGCAACGTGTTTCCTTAACATGCATATAGAGAAATCTTAGGTAAATGGAAGTGACAGCGTCAGCAAATGGCAAATTTGCAACTAGTGAGAATTTTACGTGCTGAGTTAGAAGGTGGGTAGTAGAGGAGTATACACTACACACTGTACCTGATCCTGTCTCGCCATGTTGGTCTGTGTTGTGAGAGAAGTTAGTCGAAGTTCATAGTTCTGCTGCTGGGTGGCCAGTTGGTTCTGGGCCCGACTCAACTCCGACCTCAGACTCTCTATCTCTGTCTGGAGCCCGCTGGACTGCTGCTGGCTGGCCAGGACACCCTGGAGTCTCCCCAGTTCTGACTGGAGACTGGCGATACGGCTCTGCTGCTGCTGGCTCTGGGCGGCCATTCGCTGGGTCTCGGTGTGGTGGAGGTGTCTCTTGTCAGAGAGCTGCTGGTTCACTTCCTTGATGACCACCTCCAGACTCAGGACCTGGTTAGTCAGCTCCTGTACCTTCAGTCTCAGCTCCTGCAGACACACAAACACACACACACAGTGTCTCTCTCTCCTCTCTTTCTCACACACACACACACACACAGATGCAGACTAAACGTGTGGATACATTATGCGGCATATTACACATCATTGTACATAAATAGAAGGCCTTCTGGCAGCCTAAAAGGAAGCAAACCCATAGACTTGAACGTATGTTAGCACCTGTGTAATGCCACACAATATGCCACACTCATTCAAGCTGCATTATCCCAATTCCATACATAAAGAGTGGTTAGTTTACAGAGACACATTGTGATGTACCCGTTCAATGCGAGCACTGGATGAGGACGAGGTAGACTGAGGAGACGGAGTCTTCTGCTTCCGTGCCAAGTCCCTCTCCTCCTTCACTTTCTTCAAGTCCTCCCGGAGAGTGGCGTTCTCCGTTCTGAGGTGCTCTATCTCCTCCCTGGCAGAGGCGTCTGCCCAGCCCTCTCTCTGTCTGTCGTCCAGCTCTCCCTGCAGCTGCATCACGCGGCACTTGAAGCCCATCACCGCCACCTGGGCTTCAAACAACTTGTTGGTTGTTTCGTCCGCTACTGAAAGAGGGGGAAGAGAGGGAGAGAGGAAGCGTGCAATGGCGGACCGGGACCTCTCTCTAAAGGGCACCAGCGAGGACACAAAACCCTTTCCCTAAGAAAAGATCTTGTCAACTCTCTGATATTAGGACACCTCACTAATACAGACACTTTCTTCTGCCCCATTGGTGTCCAGATTACAGGAGTTCCCCTGTATTTCTCTGGCTCTTACCTGTTGTATCCGAAACACGAGCAGGCATACTCTTCCTCTGCTGGGCCTCCTCTCTCTTCTCTGCAGCCTCTTTCCTCACCTGCTCCAGCTGGGACTGCAGTCGGGCGATTGTCCCCTTGTCTCTGTCACGAGACTGCAGACATCGCTGGATATCCTGCACCTTCTCCTCAAGGATCACGTTGTTGTCTTTCAGTCGTCCCCGGAGTCTGTTGTTCTCGTCGGCCGCCAGGTCCAACTGACGAATGACATCCGCGGCACCAAACTCTTGAATTGGGTGGGGACCGTGTGCGAAAGACCCGGCACTTGTCGAAGAGGTTGGCACGGGAGGATGGTAGGTCACCGTGTGTGAATTTGGCATCGCCTTCCTGGAGGTAAGGAAAGAGAAGAGAGAGGAGAGAGGGGTGAGACAGGAAATGGGAAATTGAAAACTGACATCATTTGTTGTTGGGGGAGCCTGGGATGGGTCTGGTAGGTGGACATCATGCTGGGAGGGAGTTTGACGTTGGGAGGGAGGGCCACTCGCGGCTGGCCGGTCCCCAGCGAGGGCGCGCCGCCGTGAGCAGGCACCGGGTACCCGCCACCTCCGAAACTCGCGACGGAGGCTTGACGGTGGGAGTCGCGGTCGAACCCGCTTCCCGTCCCGTAGTCGCTACGCGCCGAGGAGAAGGTGGACGGTTGTAGAGGGCCGTCGGAATTGCGGAGGCGGCCGTGATCCTGAGCCATACAGTTGAACCTCTGGGAAATGATGGGGGAGAGGGGGGAACCGTAAACGGAGCTCCACGCCGTTTTCAGCGCTCACTACCGGTGAGATACGGGCCTGGTTTATTGGGAGAGGTGAAACAAGGGGGAAACTCACCAAGAGGGTGACCTGATCTCGAGGAAGAAGCGAGACAGGTCCGGAGAGTAGCGGGGGAAAGATATCAGAGCCAAGGGTTTTCCCCTATCTGCGCATGCGCGTGTCGAATAACAACGTGCGCAGGAACCTCGCCCAATCCCTTTCTTCTCTCACGGGACCCAGGACCGAGCCCAGGACGGTAGCTAGCTGTGACAGATGGCAGAGGAGACTCACTCGGCTCTGGTGAACTTTCTCTCGGACCCGGCCACGCTGGTCGGGCTGGGTGTGGTGGCTGCGGGAACGGCTTACTATCTCTCCTCGCGGACCACTCCCTTCTCGCCCCCCGTACCTCTGGGGAACCAGACATCCGAGGTCCCTGTAAGTCTTTCTCCACACACACACACACTCCGTGCAAATCTGTACCCGGAATCCCCAGTCGTAGCCGCAGACACTGTATGTGCATTTTATCCAAAGCTAGCTACGTACTGACTTAGAATGTCTTTTCCTCGGAGGGTGGTGAGCGTGCAAGAAAGTCGCCGTTCCAGAAGACGGACGACCTGATGACTTCCTTCTACGAGGATGCCAAGACCCTCTACCAGAGCTTCCAGAGGGGCAAGAGGGAGTCCAGTGAGTGTACCAGTGGGGGTGTGTATATTGAAAGTGAAAGTGGTGTTTCTCCTCAGAGAACGGCCCTTGCTTGGGATGGAGGGTCGGACCAGACCATCCTTATCAGTGGCTCTCCTATCAAGAGGTGAGCCAGTCAGTCTGTGCTAACTGTAGTCAGATAGAGAAGGACACTTTGAAGACTGAAGAATTGTAGAAATACACAGGCCAGCTTCTGTCGGGAGTAAAACTCCGGCATTGTGATCACTGGAAGTCTGGTGCACTAGGCACTGAGCTACAACAACTCCCATACAAAGCTTGTGTTCCCTCTGAGTGCAGTAGTGTATAAGAGAGTAAGATGTGTGTTCTGGGCTCCCAGGTGGAGGATGCTGCCACTCAGTTTGGGGCCGGACTGGTTCAACTTGGAGTCGAGACTGGTCAGGACTCGTTTGTCGGGATTTACGCTCGAAACTCACCAGAGGTTAGCGACGGTCCTTTACCTCCTCCCTCTGTTTACCCCTCTCTCCTTCCCTCTCTCTTTCCCTCTCTCCTTCCCTCTCTCTTCCCTCTCTCCTCTCTCCCCCAGTGGGTGGTGACCGAGCAGTCGTGCAACTACTATTCCCGAGTTCTGGTACCACTGTATGACACCCTGGGAGCTGAGGCTGTGGCTTACATCATCAACCAAAGTTAGTCCAGCTGAAACTAATGCCTGGTTACTGGAGCCCGCGATGTGACGCGAATTGTGAGGTCGCAGAACATGTAACACTGTGTTGCTTGGGAATAGAATAGTTTTTGTGGTGGGTTACAAATAGAACATTGATATACGTAATTTTGGAGTCGGCTATGGATTTTGAACCTCTCTCCTGATTCCTTCTTCTTCTTTGTCTCTCTCCTCTCTGGTGGCTGACAGCCTGTATGTCGGTGGTGGTGTGCGAGGCGTCAAAACTGCTCCCTCTCATCAAGCACAGCGGAAACTGTCCCTCCCTTCGTCTCATCATCACGATGGCCAACTCGATCTCCTCGGAGGAGAGGGATGCTGCCCAGCAGGCCGGCCTTGTCCTGCACACCATGGCTGACGTCAAGGTTACCTCGCTAGTCCCTCACATACTCTTTTGAGTCACCGAGTGTGCTGTGTTTGCAGGTAATGGGGAGAGAGACACCAGTGGAACTCATGGTAAGCCACATCGCAAGTAAGTAACTCACATATTTTTCGTGAGTGCAGTCAATCGTTATGAAACGAATGTGCTTTGGGAAATACTTCACAGGCAATTGAGCGCAGTCAATCAAATATGCAGGCAATTCTGTCGTGAAAGATTTTAGTTATCTGTTAATCACTTCTTTCTCTCTCTTTGTTCCGTCAGCCTGCTGCAGTAGAATCGTTGGCCACCATCTGTTACACCAGTGGAACCACTGGGAATCCAAAGGGAGTCATTCTGACCAATGAGAACATGGTCGCCGACGCCTCCGGAGTCCTCGCCTTAGTGGTGAGTCACGTGACATCATGTGATCCTCACGTGACCTCACCTGAGAGTTGTTTGGTGCATGCAGGAGTCCAGTATCACGATTGGACCGGAAGATGTCCATATATCCTATCTACCTCTGGCTCACATGATGGAGAGATTGGTGGAGGTTAGCCACCTTCTCAATAGGCCTCATTGCTCCCATTTGTGATCTCAAATCTATGCAAATATAAAATTTGAATATGGTTTATGTAATGAGACCGTGAGTGTTGCAAGATAGCGTCTGTCTCCATTGACGTTGCAGCTGTTTCTGTTCATGAATGGAGCCAGAGTCGGGTTCTTCAGAGGTGATGTGAAGGAGCTGGTGAACGACATTCAGGCTCTGAAACCAACCTTCTTTGTCTCCGTCCCTCGCCTCCTCAATAGGGTCTACGACAAGGTCTGTCGGTGTTGCGTTAACCCCTCGCCCACTGGCAGGTTTAACCCCATTCTCACTGGTGTCTCTCTTAACCAGGTCATTGCTGGAGTGTCAGCGTCGCCAATAAAGAAGTGGCTCTTTCAGAAAGCCATGGCGTCCAAAAGGAGAGAAATTGAAAGGTAGACAACTTCAGTCCACACCCCATTCCCCATTCCTCCTCATCTCTATCCAACCAGAGGTGTCATAAGGAGAGATTCGATGTGGGACTGGATCGTGTTCAGCAAGATCCAAAACACGCTGGGTGGGCGTGTCCGAATCATTGTGACTGGCTCCGCCCCCATCAGTGCTAAAGTCATGGATTTCCTCCGCTGTGCTTTCGGCTGTCTGGTAAGCCAATGAGGGATGGGGGGGTTTGCAAAGAAATACAAAAATTTTGTGAGCAGTGTCTCCAACTAAGAGTTAGAGTCACCTGTAGCGTAGTCAGTGAGAGTTCTTAATGTGGACCAGGTTCTGGAGGGATATGGGCAGACAGAGTGTGCTGCCGCGGCATCGGGCACTGTACCCGGCGATATCAGAGGAGGCCACGTGGGGGTGCCCCTGCCGTGTAACATCATCAAGTTGGTCGACGTGGCGGAGATGGACTACTTCGCTGAGAACGGAGAGGGCGAGGTGAGGACAGGGAAGGAAATGTGAAGGTAGTGCATGTGTACTAATGACTAGAATTCAGACTTTAGACTACTCAGCAAACTGAGACAATTTGTTGTCCTGAGCCAGACAAGATTTAACGATGTTGGTAGTTTTAATGGAGTGGCTTACATAATATCCTTAGCTCCCTACGACTGTACTGTGAGGGCTTTTGTTTCATTCCATTCAGATATGTTTCAAAGGACCAAATGTATTCAAAGGTTACTACAAGGTGAGTGTTGATGAGGGGGAGAGAGAGGGGTGACAGTGTGCTGATGGTGATGGTGTCGACGCAGGATGAGGAGAAGACCAAGGAGGCCCTGGACTCGGATGGATGGCTCCACTCGGGAGACATCGGTCGCTGGGAGCCAAACGGGACTCTCAGGATTGTGGACAGGAAGAAACACATCTTCAAGTTGGCACAGGTCCGCCATATCTCTTCTCCGTCTTCACTTCTTTTCCACTCCCATGCTCTTTTTTCAACCTCAGCATGTTCTCTGAAGTAGTTCATTATGAATGTATTTCGATAAACACACTGGGGCATTATTTTAAAATTGAACCAAAAGTGTTTTAAAACCGAAATCAAACAAGAAAACATTTCTCGTGTGTTAACTTGCCTAAGATAAAGTTTCGTGTGACTTCAAATGTCACTCACTCCTATATAGGGGGAGTACATCGCTCCAGAGAAGATTGAGAACATGTACATCACCAGCAAGTATGTGGCACAGACGTACGTCTATGGAGACAGTCTGAAGGCGGCTCTGGTTGCCATCGTGGTGCCCGATGAAGAGGTTGTCTTGAAGTGGGCCAAAGACAACCGGAAGACTGAGACTTTTGAGGATCTTTGTCAGACACAGGTGAGAGAGGAGGGAGGGAGGGCAGGATTTGGGTTACAGGTTGTGACATAATTTGTTTTCAGGAGTTGAAGAAGCTGATACACAAGGACATGACACAGACTGGGAAAGAGGGTGGACTGCATTCCTTTGAACAGGCTAGTCACCTACATCTGTACTGCCTTGCCAAATAACACCTGTGTATGCATTCACTGGCTACTTTGTTCTTGCCGTGTCATTTGCCATTTCAACACTCAACACATTAATTTTGTAAGAGAATCTGCCAAGTATGCACTCAGCAATCTCAACCCTAACTGTGTGAGATTGTCTTTAGCTCTCTCTTTCTCTCCTTCCTCGCTCTATCTCTCTCTCTCTCTCTCTCTCTCTCTCCTCTCCTCCCAGGCCAAGGCCATATTCCTGGAGTCGGAGCCATTCTCCGTGGACAACAACGGTCTCACCCCAACCTTCAAATTGAGGAGACCTTTCCTCAAGTCAAAGTACATGGCTACATTTGTCCAGCTGTACTCACAGCTCCCGTCCTAGTAGACTGCGAGTCTATACTAACACTGGCTACTCTTATAGACGGTGTGCATTGCTCACATTGTAGTGCGTTACAACTGCTGTTTCTATTGTTGTGGTTGATTGTCTTTTCCATATAGAGCCCACTGGTCACACAGGTTTTAGTAAAGCAAAGAAGAATGCACTGTCACATAGTACAAAAATAATATAGACAGACCGCAAAAAATTTTAAGATGCTCTAAAAAACTATATAGTACCTAGTGGACCAATAAATACTATGGGTAAAATACTAGGAACAATAATTATTATGGCACAAGTAATACAGCTCTCTATAATACAGACGACCAAATTAACACGAGAAGGGGGAGTGGTTGTTATGCCAACGTGGCATGGGAAGGGGCGGGGTTGGGTGTGGCTGGCTGGGAAGGGGTGGAGGCCTGGAGCAGGGAGACGGCGGCCATGTAGTGTGTGAACTCTTCGAAGCTGACACAACCATCTTTGTCTTCGTCCATCTGGTGGAGGATTCTCTTGACCTGCTCCGTGAACCCTGCACTCTCCATGCCACTGCTACTGCTGTATACACCAGGCATGAGAGAGAGAGAGAGAGAGAGAGAGGTATAATGTAGCCTCTCCTGACCACTGAGTCAGAGATGGTAAACTGAAGGGTGATGTTACTAATTGTATTTCAACACACTATATACTCCCGCTACACCCAACACAAGTGCAAAGTTTCAGTCCAGTTTTGCAGTGACAGCGTTGCCCAGGCTCACATTGCTTATCTGTCTATGGGGGCTGACAGAAAGGGTGCCCAAAATCCAGTCTGCAGTATGGTATATAGCTGTCCATCGTGTTCGCAGTCAGTTATATTATAGGCTCACCCGAGGTTAGCAGCAAACTGCTCCAGCTCAGCCAGACTCAGCTGACCGTCTCTGTTCTTGTCGATGGAGTCAAACACCAGTTTGATCTGGTTCATGTCGCTCTCCCCAATCTTGTCCAGCAGGCTCCTGAGAGAGGGCGAGTCTGGGTGGGTGTGGCAGTGGGTGTGTGGCTTACTTGGAGATGGAGTCCGAGAGGTCGGTGGGTGGGTCCGGGCTGGGTGTCCTGGCTGCCACGCCCTTTTCCAGTGATCTGCGAGATATTTGCACCCTCCTGCACGCAACATTCGCACACACTATACATCATAATAGTATATAGAATGGTTCCCATCTTGTGTATATAGACAAGCTTTCCCCATTTCACTCCAAACTTTCTTCCCAAGCAACACCAAACAAGAGTAAAATGAAAAGCACTAAAGTGCAAACCCTCGGCACACTGTGGAACCCATACACAAGTGTGGCACCACCACAATTGATGGTCTTGACCATGCATCAAAAAGAACAGCACTATTTCCATGAAAAAATGGCCAGCCCCATTTCTGTTTGCAACGTTTCATCTCTCTATTAATTTGCGTATTACCCGTGGATTGTTTAGTGCAAAAAAAACCTAAGGTTTTTAAAAAACGGCCAGCCCTTCATCTCTCCAGACAGACGTCTAGGACGCAGTGCTATGCCGAACTGTACGCTGCCCTTTGAGAAACATTGGTCAGTGGTAGATTTGTGGGTAAGGGGAGGAACCAGAGCTGTTCCCAGCCAATGCTCTGGACCACCTGACATTTTAGTGCGGATCGAGGATTCGAACCCGGCACCTATGGTGTCAGTCCCCACGACTCTAACCACCTAGCCACTCGGGCTGGCCTTGGGAGGTGATGAAAAAACGTTCCAGTTATACCAACAGCCAACACTCCTATTACATCATTGTAAAAAAAGCACACATATTTTCTGACCCTCGTCGCCCGTTGGGTAGATGGTATCGTTTCTGGGACGAACAGACACCCGAGAAGTGAGATTGAGCGTAACAGACACACAGCCAGACTAAGGACTAGACAAACCCAACTACAGTACCCTCGCTGCGCATGTGCGCCGAGGGTAAAACCAGTTCCAAACCAAACCCACCCGACGGCCCGGCCCAGTTTCCTGATGCTGTTCCAGCCAGGATGCAGCTCGTGAACGGAGTCTCTTCTGAGAGCCGCCTGGAACCTGTAGCTACCCCCTTCCCCTGTCCTGCCCCTCTTGAGGTTCACCAGACTTTTCCTCCTGTGTGTGTGTGTGTGTGTGTGTGTGTGTGCGTGCAATGACAGGGACGTCTCATAGATGACATACGGATGGAGGTAATAGGAAGAGCTAACCTGAAACTATTGGATTCCTGGACGCTCAGTGATCTGTAGTTTATAGTCTGAGACCTCATTGGTCGTCTTGGTATCGCCTCCTTCTGTAGCCACACCCACACTCAATAACCTGTACAGCTGATAGTGCCACACAGACCTTGTCTCGTTCTTCCTCCCTCTCCTCTTCCTCTCCTCCCTGCTCTGGCTCTTCCTCTGGGACGGGAGCCATGATGGGTGGCAGAGGGGGCGGCGGTGGAATGTACGGCTTGACTCCGCCCTCTTCTGCTCCGCCCATATTCTCCTCAGTCTTTACCGGAGCAACTTCCTTCTTTTCCGGTTCAGCAGGTTTGACTGGTACTGTGACATCAGGTGGATGGTAAGGAGCCCTCTCCACCCACGTCTCACCACTGCTGCTGAACTTTAGAACCTGTTTATAGAAACATGGCAGTATGGGAATAGGGCAATGTAGTATGGGAATGGGACATTGCAGTATGGGAATGCAACATTTTAGCATATTGATCAGTCAAGGTTTCGCAAGTGGTTGTTTTTGGTGGAGACGGTTTTCAGTGTGAATGGGACATGGGAGTATTGGAATGGGACCAGGACACACCTGTATGTCGTCGGGGTAGAAGATCATGACGGCTCCCTTGTTTCCATAGGAACCACAGTAGTTTGAGGCGGAGAAGACGGTTGTTACGTAGGGAAACGGGAAAACAACTTCTCTGTTGTCAGTATACGAGTAACTCACTCCCTGCGTGTGCGATAAGAAAGATTAGTGGGTGTGGCCGGTGGGTGTGGTCTACTCCACCCACCTCCTCCTTGCACTGGTGTGCTCTGATGATGCCCAGCAGTTTATGAGACTCGAGGAACGGTTTGAGGGCTGCGTAGCCGTAGAAATAGGAGCACCCTCTGGGAGGGTTCGGGAGGAAATCCAGCTCCAGAAACTGTGGAGAGAGAGAGAGTGAGAGAGAACCAGAGAGAAGGGAGAAGAAGAGATAGAAAGAGGAGAGTGAGATATTAAACCTTTTATAGTACGTAAAAACTTGTTTCTTCTTCCCCACATTTGGTGAGTAGTGGATTGATGCACATTATGTAAGTGCAAACTAAATCGAACTTGTTACAGAAATGAAAGTGAAGGAGAGTAAGGGAGAGGCTCACCTCGGCGTAGTCCTTGTCAGAGAGTCTGTAGCCAAGGACCTCCTCCAGTAGGGGGTCGGCCCAGAGGAGGTCACAGATGGCCCCCGAGAGGGGAGGCTCCGTCCGGCGCTCCAGTGATCCCACCACCTCCAGGGAGGTCAGCTTTGGTCCTGGTGACAGACAAGACAAGGGGGTAGAAAGGAACAAAGACACTTCAAATCAGTGTAACTGGTGAACGAAATGAGCCCTGGATTATAATAAAACAGTCTGTAATGCTGTATCGTAAAACACCTGAATATTTGGTAAAACCACTAAACTTGTGTTTACTGCTCACCAAAATTGTAGAGTAGTTTCTTCTAAAATGGCAATAAGACACACACACACACAGACAGTACTAACCCAGTCCCCCGTGGCAACAGAGCCATCGGCCCAGTCTGTTCTCCACCACTGCCGAGATCGGGAGACAATCAAAACACGTCATGCAGGCCTCGTACACCTCCCGGCCAAACTTCTCCTCGCACTCCGACCGGAAACTGTTCCCCTCCTTGTACTCCCGCGACGTCATACACCGACTCTCGTGGTTACCCCGGAGTAAAAACACCCGGTTGGGGTGGGCCACCTTCAGCGCCAGAAGGAACGCGATTACCTCACACGAGAAACAGCCTCGATCCACGTAGTCGCCGAGGAAGAGGTACTTTGCCTGGCAGGCGGTCGTTAATCTCAACTCGACGTCTCCCTCCTCTCCCTCCCTGGACGAGGAAGGATCAGGGAGAGCCGGTAGGTGGCAGTTGACTCTCTCGTTATCTCCCCCATTGGTTGAGGTGGCGTCAGAGTGTCTGCGAGCTCCACATGAGCTGGATTTGCTCCATCTTCGACCCTCACCCGGGGAACCCTCGCTGACACAGTTGGCTCTGCTTCTGTGACCCTTGGGCACCAGTGAGAGCTCTGGGTCAGCCTGTGAGGGGGAGGAGGAGGGAGGAGGAGGAGGGAGATAGTTTGTTAGCACCGTGAGAAAAGAGATGACATGAAACCTGAGACTAGGTATGGGAAATTTGCAACAAATGTGCAATTCCATATTTGGACAAAGAGATAAGGTAGCCGTGAAAGGCAGAGAGGTGAGGAGAGAGAGAGAGAGAAAACAGAGAAGGGAGAGGGAGAAGAGAGAGGGAGAAGAGAGAGGGGGATTACCTCAGCTGCTGGCCACACCATATCCTCTCCTCTGGTGTGCTCTAGAACACTCAGCACATCACAGCACTGTCCGTGGATGTCTCCCACCACCTGTCAACACAAACATCACCCGTTGTTGTTGTTGTTGTTTGTGTTTACCACAACGTGGCCCGAGAGATGTAGCATGTTTTCCTCCCGGTCCACCAGCTGGCGAGCCCTCTCTACAAGAGCCGTCATCACCACGCTGTCCAGGACCTTGGGTTGCTGAGGTCATGTGATAGTCATGTGACAGGAACCATATGTCATGTGATGCAGTGTATATACCTGTACAGATGCGAGAAGCTGAGCGTCCCTGCTCCACTGTAGTTCAGGTGGGTGGTCGTTGAAGAAATCCCCGAGAGTGGCCAGCACCTCCCTTGCCTTTATTTCTAGCTCATCCATCTAAATGCACAGTAATGCAAACACCATTATGGACTACATACAGGCTTGCTTTGGTTTTCATCTGTGCTATAGGTATGCCCTTTTGATAATAGAGAGAAGGTGAGAGAGAGAAGATATCAGTTGAACACAGCAGTGACAGTATTTCTACATCGGCCAGGAATTAGGAGGCACACAGCCTATCATACTTGCTTGCTCTTACTACATGGGCAATAGAGCAGAGAAGGTGAGAGAGGAGAAGAACAGGCAATGAGAGCTAATACTTCTCAGGTATTCCTTGTATCAGAGGTCAGGGATTAGGAGGTGTTATCAGCTGCCTTATTAGTCCAATCTCTTAATGCCTGGACTGCCAGTCCAGCCAATGTCCAAGAAAGGACACATTGTAAGCCACTGCCCACTCAACTGCACACCACCACAAACAATCCAACACACACACAGACACACGCTCCAACAACCACTCATAGCTGGCATGGCAGGGGACAATTAAACTTCATTACTGGCGTCTGGGACCTACACACAGGGCGGCATTCCTTCCTCCTACAGCTACATGTGTACTCAATGGCGCGCTACACGACGCGGTACACGGCGTTGATCCGACGGCAGCATGCTAGGCCAGAAAAGGCCAGATGCCAGTGTTTACACAGCCATGTCGGTATAAGTCAGAGGTATCTACATACTGTGCATCGACTTTGCTCCTTCTACACCACGAGAGAGAAAGAGAAATGGAGAGAATAGCGAGAGAGTGAGCTCAGTACAGCGAGCCCAGTACAGCGAGCCCTTAGCGTCAGAAACCGTACAAGGTATATACAGTATCCAGTATCCAGGGCCGAAACTCCTGATATCAGCTCACTTCTATGCCGCGTCTCCCGCTCTGTCACAAGAGACCGTCAGCAGCTAGCAACGAGTAGAAGGCAGCCAGCGACCAAGATGCACGCAGACTGCACTAGAGCCGAGCTAGCTCCTAAATTACAGTGAGGGTACACGCCCACTCTTATCCGCATGCCTGCTGCGTCTCCGTACCAGACCGCATGGGAATGGGAGTGGAACTACAGATTAGGAGGCGGAGCTGCACGTGCACGAAGAGTGGAAAAGATGTCAAGCCGACGACGAGTCCAGTTGTTTTACGACGTTCTCTCTCCCTACAGCTGGGTGGCCTTCGAGGTGAGACAGTATTAACTAATGGTCGTTCACCCTGTCCAATGGGATCCCACTGCCCAGGTATTATGTCGCTACCAGAACAAGTGGAAGATCAGCCTCGAGCTGCGCCCTTTCTTCCTCAGCGGCATCATGCAAGGAGCAGGTGTAGCTAGCTGAAACTTTCCACGTCACAGCCTTACCCCATGTTCTTACTACATAAGATTACACAATCACATCCAAAGCACTGCAAACCCCATATATAGTCAGGTATTCATCGCAATGTCTTTCCCAGAGTTCTTACTAAAGTAGAAACAGGTTAAACTTGAAAATTTACATCTCCCCTGTTCCTCTTTGCTCCAGACAACAGGCCACCAGGTGTGGTGCCTGCAAAGGCTCGATACATGGGGAAATACTTGAGGAGACTGGCAGAGTATTTTAGAATTCCTCTCCAGACACCAAGTGTATGTCTCTCACATGACGATCACATAACAGTCACATGATGAGTGACTATGTTGCAGAATGTCAGCGAAGTATTGTTCGTGAAGGGGTCGCTTTCTGCAATGCGGTTGCTAACAGCAACCAAAGTGACTTCGCAGGAGCATGTGGAGGTGTTGTCACGGCAACTGTGGAAGAGAATCTGGGGCATGGTGGGTAATGAGTGCTTGTATTGTGAGGGTGTGCAATCTGTGGGGGTGTGAAATCTGTGAGGGTGTGCAATCTGTGAGGGTGTGAGGGGGTGTCTTATCCCAGGACCAGGATATATCGGAGGAGCGGAGTCTGAGGGAAGCCTGCAAAGCATCAGGGATCGATCAGGAGATGACGGACAATCTGATTGGTCAGATTGTCCAGCCGGAGGTGAAGGAAGAGCTGAAGAGGTCCACACAAGAGGCTCTGGATCTGGGGGTGGGGTGACCACGCCCAGTGGGTGTGACTAATTACCTAATCTCCTTGACTGCAGGCATTCGGAGCTCCGTTCATAGTGGTTCATGTTGATGGGAAGCCAGAGCGGTTCTTTGGGGGTGACAGATTTGAGCTTATTGCACACATTCTCGGTACGTTTGGCTCAGAATTAATCGTGCCTTAAATTCCAAAATTACGCAGCTTTCAATTGTCGTTGATGAGGTTATTGTCTCTCTGACTCTGACTATCTGTCCATTTGCGTGCAGGTGAAAAGTGGGAGGGACCACTATTAGACTATGCAGCCAAGATTTAACGTTTCATTATGCTGATGTATTTCAGCGACAGTTTCGTAAATTATTTTTTTACAAAATTGAAGATAGCGAAGTGAAAGTGAAAAATGTTTCAGAGTTCCTCATGTGGTTGATGATCGTGAGGGAAACCCCCTCCCCCTTCCTCTTCTTCCTCCTCCCACTCATCACCAAGCTCACTGTACCCCCAATCCTCCTCCCCTCCTCCCTCCCACCCTCCCTCCCCCCACTCTCCTCCCTCATCTCCCCACTCATCCTCCTCCTCGGGATGGACTGTGGACATGAAGGAACGGAATGCAGACACGAAACTCTCGACTGGTAACGAATGGATTTCAGATGACCGCAGTTGCCCCTGGCAACCAGGTTTCAGCGACTCAAAAATCTGTTGTCACATGACAGTCATGTGACATTATTTCAATGTGGAACCCACAGAACCCACAGACCTGTACTACAGCCTCCAGCTGTAGATCTTCCATCCCTTGTCTCTGAGGAAAGTCAGACACCCATACCGTCATGATTTCAGACCCCCATTCCCCCATACCATAGAGAGGGCCAGGTGTACCTCAGAGGCATATACTAGTCCATTGTCATCAGCATGGGTCAGTAGACCTTGTCTGTGTATATATATATACCAGGGGAGAGAAAGACATTCTTCAACTGGCCCCACTGGCTGCAATAGTGATGTGATTATAAAAACCCACTGACCCTTCACTTGGTGCTGTAATGTTCACATTATGCTTCACCATCACACACTATTTAGTAACTGACTGACTTTAGCTGTAGTTCAGGAACTAGATGATAGTCAGAGAGAGGAGCAAAGTCCGGTAGCTCCTCTTCCGCTGAACAGTCTTCACTGTCATACCTATAGCCATGCAAAACACGGCAGTTGGAAGGTATTACCCACACTCTCACTCTTAAGTAAAGTTAGTTCTCACATGAAGGCGGACAACCAGAGGTTGACTCCAAGGTTCCTGCCACGTGAGGTCACATGATGTATCCAGAGGTGAGGGAGGAAGAGGCAGTCCCCGGGCCATACCACCGCACGGTGCCATGGAACAGAGACCAGACCAGGATGACTCAGCAGGTCGACTCTAGCCAACACAAGTCAGTTAGTTCTCTCTCTCTCTCTCCTTTGTCACACCATCCAAACAGTGTACACACTGGCCAACTCAGCACATGCAGATGCCCACCCAGTCTGGAGAAAACGACTCACTTGTCAACGTCGATATTGTAGAAGCCCCTGAGTCTTGTGCTCCGGTCCCACGATGTCGATATAGCTGGGCTCGATCATCACAAACTCCTTCACTCCACTCACCAGGCAGTGGAGATTGTCAAATGCATCTGTATGCAGCACGCTCTTTGTTCCTCCATTGCTGAACCTGTTGGAGCGACATCACATCATGGAGCCCAATTCACTGACCCTTCACAAAGTATCCATTATGCATGAATGAAAGGCCAGGTGCACTCATACCTTCACTGGACTCTTGATTGAAGATTACAAGTTTGATAAGGGAGGGGTAATTGGGAAGTGAAAGAGAGGTGATAGAGAGATGATGTTTCTATCTGTTGTGGATTGGGGCTGTTCCCCTAATTCTGGGCTAAATTGAGAGTCAGACCCACATTGTGTGATTGTTATACCAAGCATAAGAGAAGATGAGGTTCTGAGTGAATCCTCCACAGAGCAAGAGCTGTGGCAGAAGCCACTCCCGCTGCATGGCAGGGGTCAAAGGTGACACCATGTAGATATCCTCTCCCTCATACCTCTGTAGAAAGAAAAGCTTTCACAATTTTCAAGGAGCTCAGAGTCAGGTTATTTTGTGTGTGTGTGTGTATTACCCCAACTGAAACCATCACAATAAACTGAGAGGTTTGGAGACTCACGTCGAGATAGTCGGCCATGTTGGTCAGGAATCCAGTCTCAGACCTGTTCTCCTTCTTCTTGTGCTCCACATTCACCTCCTCACCCCCAAACCTCTCCCTCAGGTACCTGCACACACAGAACACGCAGCTCCCTCTCTCCTTCGCTACCGTTCTTACGACTAGCAGCATCTACCCCATCCCTGTATATATCTACATTGTGATGAGTATGGCGACCAGGCTACTCCATCACTGGTCGTCTCTCTCCCCGGTCGTTCAGGAGCCGAGTGGAAGTTCAGAATCCCTCAGAATACCCGTAGAGTCGACGACTCCACGTATTGTCGTGGACATTCCGCGGTTTCGGGACGGTGGTGATTCTGGGACCAACTGCGGCTCCATGTGGGATCCGAGAGGCAGCATGTGCCCCGGAGGAGCTCGCTCCCTCTGCAAATCCACAGAACTCCGCACAAAGCAGCCCACAGCCTCGCCATGTTGATGCAGGGTGGTCGGAGGCGTGGCTCGGGTCAGAGGTCAACGTTTTCTTAATTTAGCGACGTTCTAGAAATTGCACATTAATAGACTGTCGCGTCGATCTCTTCATTGAATGTTGGAAGCTATGGGGAACGAGTGAGTGCAAACGTGAGGACGAGTGAGGAGAAGGAAGACGAGGAACGATGGACGAGCAGGGAGGAGGACGAGGTGGTCTGGCGGGCTCTGGTCTCTCTCACACGAAGTGGAAGACGGCAGCAGGTGTGTGTGCTCACGTGCGCCGCTCCACCGGCTCCTCTCAGTCGGCAGCTCTGCCAGTCTGGAGCCAGAGGTGAGCCGACTCTACAACCGTACGAAATCCTAGTGACGTAGCTATGACTTAATCCGCACCTACGGCTGTTGCGTCACCCGAGCATCGTCAAGTTTCTGAACGGCTACATCCATTCTCTCAGTCCTCTGGTCATGGTGACGGAGCTGTGCTGGCCTGTGTGGGTGTGGTGAGTGGATGTGTGGAGGGGATGGTGACGGGTGGAGGACATTGCCAAGGACTGGCTTTCCTTCACGACAAGGTACATAAGTTTCTCCAAGTGGTTTGTTGGGTTTGGATCACCTGTCTCTCCCTCACTCTGCAGCCAGTTGTCCCACCACAGTCTGTGCTGTGAGTGTGTGTTTGTCTGTGCCACACTAGCCACTGGAGATTGGTGGGTTTGAGGCTGCAGCTCACCACTCCAAATCAACCACACGTACGTTCTCCAGACCCCACTGATAGTTCACTCTTCTACTGTCCTCTCTGTCTCTGCAGTTTATTGAGACCATTGCAGCCATCAGACCACCTGATACTGTCCCTCCTGAAGACACAGTAAGGTGAACAATTTCAGTTAACCCACTTGCAACCTCTCCCTCTCTCCTCTCCCTCTCCCTCTCTCCCTCTCTCACTCTCCCTCAGAACCCTACTCCAGAGTCAACTCCAACTGTTCCGTGTCACTCTAGAGATGTGTGGGCCTTGGGTCAGTTCATGTTGTCAGTGGCAGAGGAGGCTCAACTCAGCAGTGAGTACACTACTGGAACCCCTCTCTAAGGACACCCCTGTAATAACGACACCTCTCTATAAGACATTTTCTTTTCCCAAGAACAACTCTCGTGTGATAGTTTACACCTGAAAAATGGACACTTTCTTCTGTCCCGTTGGTGTCTGGATTAGAGGGGTTCCTCTAAACCATAGAGACCGAGGCTATTGGGAATTTCTCTATGCATTCCCAGGTGTAATAAGTGACTCGACGTACACTTACATCCAGCAGCAGATGTTAAATATTGATCCAATGGTGAGCTGTGTAGCCAACAATTCTCCGACGATGTTTCTCTATTGCCTCTATTCCAGGCCAGACCAGCAGTAGTAGAACTCATGGCTCAGCCCTGGATGAGGTGAGTCAGTTTGGCGTTAGTTTGAGAGTGGAATAGCAACACTACAAGGACACTGTCTATGTGTGTGTACCTATGTAAGGTGTGCATTATTTAGAGGTTTCGCTCTATTCTCTCTGTTCAGAAATGACGTGTCAGATATTGCTGATTTCCTGAGTCACCTAACGGTCAAGACTCAGTCAGAGAAAGACAATTTCTTCTCTGATCTGCCGGCTCGACTCCACCCCCTCCCTCCCCGAGTGGTCGCCGAGCACCTCCTCCCTCTTCTCCTCACCCCTCTCATCATGACCGAGACGGTCGCTCGCAGGTGCGTCTGTCGATTGCAAGTGACAAGGGAGGAAGACACTTGCACAGCACATCTCGCAAACTGCACACCGCCCCCAGTCAGAGAAATGAACGAGAGAGAGAGAGAGAGATGTGACCATCATGTTTCTTATTTTCTCCTCCGCAGGTGTCTGTGGAAACACCTCCTAACACCCGCCTCTTCACAACACCCTAGACGTATGACCTTTGACCCCTGTCGGATCTGCCCCCTTTTTGACGAGGATTTATTTACGTGAGGCTTTCTCTCTCCCTCACACCCTCTTTCTCCCTACAGTGGAGCCCTCTCTAAATACACCCATGAAATGAGGACACCTCTCTAATAAGGACAATGTTTATCTTCCAAAAAACAGGTTTTACTTGTATATACCCTGAAATGAGGACACCTCTCTAATAAGGACAATGTTTATCTTCCAAAAAACAGGTTTTACTTGTATATACCCTGAAATGAGGATACCTCTTTATAATAGACCGATCTTTAATAAGATTATAGGGGTTCCACGTATTAACTCTCTGTCCCCTCACCCCACTAGGTACCACGCAGTGCCACTCCTCCTGAACCTTATGGAGTCACATGACTATCATGTGAGAATGGTACTGCTGGAGCACCTGGTCCAGTTTACTCCTCTCTGTCCCCGGGAGGAGTTGGTCGGATCTCTGCTCCCTGAGGTACAATACACATGAAATGATAGTTCATAGCATATTACAATGGTAGCTTTTGAAGTGTGTGTTTTAAAACATGGCAAAATACGTCTTTAGTAGCGAAATATTTGTGGACTGGTTGTCCGAACTGACTGTTCTGTTTTGGTCGACAAAACTGTAGTAGAGTCTCTGTTGTGTGGCGTTTTGCAGTCTTGGGCTTGTATCACTCAGGTTATTATAGGGGCATCCTCTTTTCTTAGAGAGGAGTTTGACTTTACATTCAGTAGAGTATTTCAATTTATACAGCTCAAGTTTTTCCTCTGATCTATGACCTGGTGCTGTGCAGGTTCTAGTTGGTCTCCATGACGTCAGTGATGAGATGGTCCAGGCCACGCTGCGAGCTCTGGCAGACCTGGTGTCGCTGGTCGGAGGAGAGACTATCGTGGGAACCACACGCAGCTGCATCTTTGCCGACTCCACCCCCAGGGTCAGAGGTCAAGGTTCACTAACGAGTGTGTTTTGAATTGTGTTTTAGTCACAGAAGGTTGTGATGGAGAAGACACAAACACCACCGCCGTCTGGGTCACCGAACTCACTTCCTTCACCCCTCACCTCCTTGCAAACTCTGCCCCTCTCCCCGCTACAAGCTCCACCAATTTTCTCCTCCAAGGCTCCGCCCACCTCTCAAGACGAGGCTCGGAGGCAGCAGCGAGCAGAGAAGATGAGAGAGAAGAGAGAGATGCAGAGGAGGAAGAAAATGGCTGCCAAACTCGGTGAATTGAGTCAACAGTGGCCAACACCAGCGTGTAATGGTTGATATGGTCTCTACAGGTTTGGCTAGCAGAGTGGCAGATGTGGACGGGGTGGAGTCAGACGAATTGACCGCACCCACTGGCCACGCCCAGTACTCGCCCAGTGTGAGTCATGACGAAGAAGACAGAGTCAACTCTGAGACTGGTGAGTGACAATATCGTGAGGATGTCCCTAACAATTATTGTCATATTAGTGGGAGGTGAGGAGGGAGAGATGGAGGGAGAGTGGGATGAGTTTACAGAAGAAGGAGGGGGGGATGTGGAGTGGGGAGATGAGGGAGGGTGGGGAGGAGGGAAGGTGGAGACTTGGACTATAACTGCTGACAGCTCCAGGCTCCACCGGGAGGCAGAGGATGAGAGAGAGCCCAGCGAGGTGTCTGGTGAGGTGGGGGAAGAACCAGTCCAAGAGAAGAGGAGACAGTCTGGGGGAACTGCTCTGAAGCTGGGCAGGAAACAAACTGGGAAGGAGGAGAAGAGGGAGAAAGGTGAGGGGAGCAGCGGGTCAAAGGTCACACTGAGTGAGGCGGACAGACTGAGACTAGAGGAACAAGCTGCTTGGAGTACGGAGCCTGATTTCTTTGCCGACATGGCTCCCTCCGTTGCCAAGAAAACTGGAGTCTCTGCCTCCCTGGGTGGGGTGGAGTCCCCCACTCTGACCACGAAACAATCATCTTCACTCCAGTACCAGCCAGCCGAAGAAGAGGTGAGGGTTGGTCTTTGTAAATGGTGGGGAAGAAAACGCCCATCAGAGTTTTCTCCATAAATTTTGTCTTTTTTTACTCTGCAAAATTTTGTGGGCAGGTTTTTTTTACAATGGACAAAGCGACCTATATTCAATTCTCCCTCAGTAGTGTTCTGTTGTTGTTTTGGTAGTGACTGTTGCCTTTTAGTGTGAACCATCTGTTGCTCTATACATACAGAAGGAGGGGGGTGGCTGGAGTGCTGGATGGAACGATTTCTAGAGCCAGCCACTGCCACAAACACTATCTCTAGTCCGAAACTTTTATCTGGCTTTATTTATGAAAAAATCACTTTGATACCATTGACAGTTGTTTTTGGCAAAAGAGGGAGTTGGTTGAGTTGAGTCAACACTACTCCTAGCGCGAAACCTGCACATTTAACATCATGACAGAAATTTTGGGTGTCGGGAAGAGAATTCAGTTATATGTAGACAAAGTTGAATCGACTGAGGACCTGCGGGAGACTGGCGATGACGGGGCCGTAGCCAGCCGAGTTGTCATAGAGTTCAAACAGAGGAGCTGCCACCAGTTTGTAGTTGCGTGGCACAGAGAAGAGGGCCTTCTCTGGGAGCTGTAAGAGGAACAGTCTCTTGTGTTCTTTGGGTCGCGTGCAGTGGGCCGGGATGTAGGGGTACTGAGGAGCCTCAAAGTTCGGCCTCCACCAGTTGGACACCACGTCTCTCACCTTCCAGTCTGTCTTCATCTGGAGAGGAGAGGAGACACACACCTATATACCCGTCTATGGAAGCCTCCAGTATAATATAGTCAACATACACTACAGTTGTGGGTACTTGGTGAAGGTTAAAAATGGGTTCTTTCTCTATATAATTATTTTTATGAGACAAAAAGTCTGGGTACAAGTCAATGTGATCTCACAATATAATGTATGTTGGGCCAATTATTTCTGTGACACCTGTGTATGGCAGGTTTTTGTAATAGTTGTGACTGACCCCGTCTTCTCTGCCGAGGGTGTTGTTGACGATCCTTAGCATCCCCTCCGTCTCCGTCTCTCCCATTTGGAGCTCACCACTGGGCAGCTTGAAGAAGGTTGTACCCGAGGGGCTGGGTCCTGCGTAGCACGGGGCCTCAGTGAGCCACAAGTAGAGCGGAGAGGAGGGCTCACCTAGCTGGAGGAGGAGGAGGTGAGGGAGGTTGTGCTCGTGAACCAGAAGAACACCCTCCACGGAGTGCCGCATGCCGTACTTCTCGAAGTCTTCGCGCATGCGGTTAAACCTGGACTCCACAGTCCGGTCCTTCTCGTACATGGGGTCTTTAGTGCCGAATGTGTAGTTAGAAAGTGGATAAAGATTCACTATGTCCATTTCTGAGCTCAAGTCTCGATTCTAAATGATGCGCACCATTATTCCAATTAGTGCACATCAGAGTTTAACCTTTTGCCTCCGTTGCGAAGGGGGAAAATGGCGACTTGCGGGAACGCTTTCCTGCGGATCAGATACCGTCTTGCAGGCGAGTATAAATCATATGCAGGTAAATATATGATGAATATATCCCACCTAATAGGACAAGTTCTGAGATATGTGGACAGGGGAACTGTAAACTGTGGACAAGTAAGCAAGTGTTTGTGCTAAGGGAAAATATGATCACGTGATGCAGGCTCGTCACGTGAGCTCTGAGATGGAGAGAGGTGCAGGAGGGAGGTCTTCGTTCAGTGGAGTTGTGGCAACCGTCTTTGGTTCCACTGGTTTTGTTGGGAGATACGTTGTCAACAGACTCGGTAAGAAGTGGGTGTGTCCAGTGGGCGTGGCTCTCTTTCATACTTACATGTGTGGGGAAGGACAGGCTGAATTCTGTGTGTGCAGGTCGCGTGGGGTCACAGATTGTTGTTCCTCTGAGGGGAGATGAACATGATTACCGCCATCTGAGGCCAATGGGAGACCTGGGCCAGATCACTCCTCTGGTTGGTGACTTGGTGCATGCAGTTCAACTCCTTTCTAAAGGCACCCCCGAAATAAGGACACGGTTTCCTCTCCAAAAACTGTTCTTGAATGCAATCTAATGGAGACACCTCACTAGTCTGTCTGTATTAGAGGAATTCCACTGTAGTTCCCACTCTGTCTCCTCCACAGGAATATCATTTGAAAGATGTCGAATCGGTCAAGAAGGCAGTTCGACACTCTAACGTCGTCGTCAATCTTGTCGGGAGAGACTACGAGACCTGGTGAGCCCACCACACACCCTCTTCTCCCTCTCCACCTTCATCCCCTACCGACATGCCTGATGCAGGAACTTTAAGTACAGAGAGGTGCACGAGGAGGGAGCAAGGGTGATTGCCGAGGCCTGCAGGGAGGCAGGGGTCCAGAGACTGATCCATTTCTCTGCCCTCAATGCTGACCCACACTCTCCCTCATCCTTCCTTCAATCTAAGGTCACTGCATGTGTAGCACTTCTTTCCCCCAATGATGTTCCGTGATTAAGGATGCAAAATTGGAGTGTTTGAGTCAATCTGTTACGAAGTGTCTCTGGCATTGTACTCTAACCCCAGGCAAGAGGTGAAGAGCTGGTGAAGGAAGCGTTTCCGACGGCAACCATTGTGCGTCCGGCAGACATATATGGTCACGAGGACAGGTTCCTGAGTTTCTACGCCAGTCTGCGTGGGTTTCCCTTTCACCTGATCCCTGTTCTTGACAGAGGGAACCTCACACATAAACTGCCTGTCTACGTAAGTCAGTCTATGTCCCTATCAATTAATACAGCTACATGAGAACTATGGCGGACTGAACTGCATATGTATTCCATTTTGCACCATTTTCTGAACACTCACTTGGTAGAGTGCTCTCTCAAGAGGGCAGTGTGTTAGAGAAGCTGTTAAGAGGCTTACCAAAGCAGCCACTGTGTTCCAGGGCCACCTTAGGCAACTCTTTTCTTTGAGTAAAGTGTTTTGTGTGTAGTTGAATTGTTCTCATCTTATGATTCTTAAAATGTGAATTTCTTGTGTCTGCAGGTAGGAGATGTGGCCCAGGGAGTCGTGAATATCATCTCAGATCAAACAACCGCTTCAAAAACTTTTGAGTTTGTCGGGTGAGAAATATCCGTCCATTTCTTCTTTTAGATGTTGTATTTCTCTCTCCTGCCAGTCCCCACTCATTTGTCCTGAGGGATCTAGTTCGCTATATCTACCACGTCATGTACCGCCAGTGTGTCCTGGTCAGCCCTCCTCGCTGGGCCTACAGACTGGTCGCCAGAACTCTGGAACTGTCTCCCTTTGTCCCTCACATGACGAGAGACATACTCACCAGGGTCAGTCCCATACAATGAAACCTCTGAATATGGGCCAGTCCCATACAATGAAACCTCTGAATATGGGACACCTTGGGGACGCTCCTGAAAGTGTCCCATATTCAGGTGTCTCTTATTCGAACACTAATGTATTAGTATGGGGCAGAACAAGTGTCCTTTATAGAAAGGTTAATTTCAGCTGTTTCACTGATAATCTCTGCCCACAGCTCCACCTCTCTAACAAGGCAACGCCCGGAGTCCCTCGTCTGGAAGATGTGGGCGTGTCTCCATTGGCTCTCGAGGATAAAGCTCTCCCCATTCTCCGGAGGTACCGTGATTTCCTCCATTTTGACCGATCACTTGACGAACTGGAGGCTCCCAACAAGTCCTAGTCAACCTAACACTCCACCCTTCCGTGTGTTAAACAGATATTGTCATAGTCCAGTTGAAAAAACAGTCTATATATAACTCTGAGATTGGTGGGTGTGGAGTGTGTGTGGAGTGTGTGTGTGCTATGTGTGAGGGTGTGTGGGGAGTGAGTCTGGTGATGAAGGGAGAGGGGTGCCATCGAAGGGGATGGGAGGGGGGTAAGTGGTGATTGTGGAGGGCTCTGAGGCGTTGAAAGCTCTGCGGATCTGCTGCGGGTCCTTCCCTTGTATCATGTCTGCCACAGCCTTGCACAGAATGTCCAGTAGTCCTTTTATATCTAGGTAATTGGCGGCCTGGGAGAACAAGAGAAAAAGAAAATTGTGAACATAAAGGAAAAAAATTTTAGAGGGCGTGTTGCTGTTTAAAGTTGACCACATAACTACTTAGAAGCAACTCTTCCTGTGAGCGGTGCATACTTTCACAGTTCCCACTTTTTGTCGCTAACTTCTGAAGAGTTCTAGTTGCCACACGCACCAGTAGAAGGTCGTAGACGTCTTCTCTGTTTTTTGCCACAAATTCTCGTTCCCACTGAGTGAGGGTGTGGCTGGGTGGAGGCAGCAGCTGCGCTCTTGACCTCTGCGGGACCCTCGGCTAGAGACACACACAGAGACAGGGAGAGACTCCTTGAAATACAGCAAAACCTCTGAAAAAAGATTCCTCCTGCCCCGTAACATTAGTGTATATATATACTAGAATGCATTTTTGGCAAGTGAACGCGAGTAGTCAAATTTTCCGCACGAACATTGGAGTACGTGCAGTGACATTGCCCAGTCACCATGAATTAACCTGTGGTCTTGGTTGTGGTGGCGGTAGTGAGGGAGAGGTGGAGGGGGCGGCGGGAGGAGGGGTGGGGGGAAGCTCTGACTGCTGGGCTGGTTCCGGAGGATTGGAACTGACGTAGTACTCTGCCCATCCCAGAATCTGTGGGTGTAGGACATCACGTGGTGCAGTCACGTGATGTCAGACCTTGTTGAGGATCCTGGAGTGGACGTTGGGCAGAGGAATAACGTCTTCTGGCTCTGCACCTAGTTCTGCATGCCAGACAGACTAGATTGCCGACGCTGTACAATCTCCGGAGTACCTTTGAGCATGGTGTCGATGGTTCTAGAGACACGGACTACCTCCACGGGAACAGCAAACGTCTTCCCGTCGCTGCTCTGAAGCCTTATCATGGTGGTAGTGGCTTCTTCATGTTCAGTAGCCATCATCTCGGCCGAGGGCACCTAATTAGTGGGCGGGGCTAAAAGAAATGCGCATGCGCATTTTCGGAACTCTAGCTAAACAACAAGATGGCGTTGTCGGAGAAGGAGAAGTGGTGGCTGGAGGAACATTTGGAGGAGCTGACAGAGCACCTGGATCCGAGAGAGACCATCACTCGACTGAGGACGCTGTTCCCCGACTTGTTCGACTCCAAGGACGAGGACGAAATTCTCCTGAGGCACGTAACTCCCCTCGAGCAGACCGGGGCGCTGGTGAACCTCTTGAAAACGAGGCCGACGGAGGCTCTGCAGGCGTTTCATCAGGTGTTGTCGATATGTCAGCCTAGTCTGGCCTCTCTACTCTGGCCTGTCAGCTACAGTATCCTCTGGCACTGCCCGTCTCCCCAGCATGCAGCAATGGCCGCCTATCTCCTGAAGACCTTCACTGACACTGACTTCCTGCCTCCACGGCAAGGAGGTCCAGACCACCTCCTTCGCAGCTCGTGTGGGAGTGGTTTCGGAAAAGAAGGGACTCTAGTTACTCTGGCGTTTCCATCACGACCAGAACATTTTCCCAAGATGGTGAGCGAGATGTTCAAACAGACAGAGCAGGCAAACCTTGTGATTCTGACTGGATCCTGCGAGCCACTAGGTCCGGGAGTGTCCCCCGGACATGCGGTCGTCCCTCTCTCTGCCGGAGATGGTGAGGAGACGGTGGCCTGCAGCACTGCACTGAGAGTAAGAGATCTTCAGGGGCGCCTGGAGGCAAGACTGGGGAGTGCAGTGTGGCTGAAGGAACAAAGTAAAGTCTACAGTCGATGTGCCTATCTGGACTACTGCTCTGCCTGGTTGACAAGACTCTACGTTGAGATGACTGCTGGGACAAAATCCTCTGATTGGATGGAAAGGCAGGGTGTGACGAGGGAGCAGAGAGGGGGTGTGGCTTGTCCATTTCCCGAGTGGGAGATGGGAGAACTGGCAAGGCACGTCCTGACCAGGGGGCGGGGCTGGAATGTTGACCACACCTCCCCACTGGGGATTTCCCCCAACCCAGAACTAGTGTCTCGTGTCAGGGAGAAAGTCGGTCGTTACGGATCCTTTCCCTCCCCCATTAACCCCATTCCTCCGACTACTCCTCTATTTAACCCTCTCTCCACTACCAGTGATGGAGTCTCGTCTTCTTATGCCTCACATTTCTTCAAGACCTGTTCTGCCCAGCTGGCCACCGGTACTGACTGGCTGGCCTGTCTGGGGGCGTGTCACAATACGACCTCTGACACTCCTGAACTCTCCACCCACACCTCTGTCACCATGGCAATGGAAATTGTCCAAATGCTAATGTCAATCAGTGTCAGATAACTGTTCAGCATTGTTCTTGTAAAATCCTACGGAGATTGTGCGCATGCGCAAGCGGCTAACGTGTGCCCAATTGACCTTTGAACTAATGCACAATGTCAGCTGAAGTAGCTGCAGACGAAGCAGCGAGGAAACTGTTCTTGCAGTTGAAGCCGTCATGTGTGGAAGTCCTCCGTTCCTGCTCCGCCGAGTCCTTGGGCCGTCTCGACGAGGCCCTGCGACGGCTGCCACCGCGCATTCCCCCACCTCTGATGGAGTATGTTCTCTTCCCCCTGCGGACGTGGCTGAGGCGGCTAGGAGGGTGAGGGAGACGCGGTAGAGCTCTCGGTGATAGCTATCTCCCTCCGCTGTCAGGTCGGACCGAGTGTTGCTGGAGCATCTGCTCTGCTCTCTTTCTCTGCTGCTCTCACGAGCTGCCCCGGGACAGCTCTCCCTGTCCTGGGACGTCTTCCAAGAGTTGTTTGCCTTCCTCAGCATGCTGCTGGACGGGCAGATGTCTCAGGCAGCAGGGCTCGGAGCTCCGAGCGAAGAGAGAACTCTGCAGGCTCTGCGCTGCCTCAAGTCTCTTTTTCTCTCAGCTACCGAGAGGTATGTAACTTGTGACATTGGAATTGAATTATCTCTCTCACACACTGTGCAGTAGTGTTAGTCAGCTCTACCAGAACGTGCCTGCAGTGGGTCACTGTGTGTCAGTGCTGCTGGCAGCCCTGGGCTCCTGTGAGGGTAGGGAGGTGAGGAGCACTGCTCTGGGAGGACTGCTGGCTCTCTCTGGTCTGGCAGAGGAGGATATCACTCTCTTTACTGGTGAGGAGAGCTCTTGTTGGCAAACGAAGCCAGCTCACTTAGTGTACCAAAATGACTGTAGTTCAACTCCTCTGATCCAGACACTAATGGGACAGAAGATATTGTTGAAAGAGGTGTTCTTTTTTAGGTTTGGAGGGGTTCCACTGTAGATGGTGCTCTCACCATACCGTAGTGGATACAGCAAATCTGCTACAGTATTGCACCCTGATTTTTCTTGTCTTTCTGTTAATGGTTTGCCAGGGGTTGGTGGGGACATTGAGGACACTGCTGATGGTTTGAGATCCCTGGCAGGGAGAGTTGGCAGGGAGAGACTGAGAGAAGGAAGAGGAGAAGTTCTCGCTTCGTTCTTGCCTGGAGTGACCACAACCACCACCAAACTTCTGACATCTCAACCAAACCTTGGTCAGGTCTGTGTGTGATGGTTGACCTTTCTTTCCTCCCCTCACCTCCTCCCCTCATTTTTTCTCATGCAGGGAATATTAAATGTGAGTGGAGCCCCCGTTTTATTCCTGTCAATGACTGTCGTCTGTATAATATGTAGTTGGGTCTATTGGTCTGGACAAGATATGTCAGTCTATCACTCAGTGGTGTAACGCATGAGGAGACTGGAGATGTAGATTACGTCAAAAGAGCAGCTGAACTGGTCGAGGGTGTGAGGGCGGAGCCACAGGCCACACCCACTGGCCCCGCCCCCTCCAACACAAGCAGGAGAGACCTGAGAGTGGAAAGGTCGCGGAACTGGATGAGGGAGACGGACCGAAAACTGGCCCTTCTCGCAGGGAAGATGGGCGGGGTTCTCGTGACAGTGGGAGGAGGGTGGAGGGGGAGGAGGGGAGTGGTGCTCTGGGCACACTGTCTCCTTGGCAACTGTCACAGGACGCTGGTTTCCGTGGCGCCGGTTCTGTTGGAGGTTCTTCTGACCCTCAGTCATGATGGCTACAGTCTGGTGTCCAGACCAGCTCTCCTCTCTCTGGTATACACCCTATATACCTATGTCTCCCTCTCTATATCTGTCTTCTCTCCCATCGTCAGGAGCTGTTCTCTGCACAGCATTCCAGAGAAGGTCTGAAAATATCTCACTCTCTTTGTTTGTACTCAACCAAGTCTCTCTACCTTCCCCGATGTGTAGTAGCCACAAATGTTTCTTTTTCACTTTTCGTGGCAATCGAAGCAAGTGTCTGTCATACTGTATATGAAATTCTGCAAGCATCTGTTCCAATGGCCTCTAACACTCTTCCCTCTCTACCTACAGAAGGCGGAGAGCTGGTCTCAGTTCTACAGGAGAGACTGTACTCCCTCTCCTCTTCTCTTCCTCGTCTCATGAGACAACACGGTATATACCCCCTCGTTGTGATGTCATAATGATGTAATCTCTCTCCACAGACGACACTAGGAAGGTCTCGGTGATGCAGCTGTTGGCCGGGTACCTCAAGTTGCTGGGTCCTCACGCCGTCACACTCACACTCTCCCCTCCACACCTCTCACACCTCACACAGGCTCTCGTTCAGGTCAATTACATCACCATTATGTAATCCCAATTGCATAATTATGATGTAATCCAATCTCTGCAGACCCTGGAGCTGGAAACCACACCCCCTCATCTCACAGAGCTGCAGTCACTGGATTCAGTCGGAGATAATGTGGTCATAGTTGAGGGGCAGAGTTCTGGCCCCCGGGGGAACAAAAAAGAGGTCCCCCAAGACAGTGAGGACTGGTGGACAATAAGTCTTCATTTCAAACATTTCCGCCACCGTCGTGTGGAGGAGTTGGTTCGTGATTGCTGCCATTTGCTGGGCTTCTTTGGCTCTCTTCGTCCTCTCCTGGACCACCTTCTTGAGAGATACTACGTCGCCACGGGTGATGGGGGTGGGCGGGGCTCCGAACTGCTCGTTGTCATTGGTTACGTCCTCATGGGGGCTGGCGGAAGGGGGTGTGTCAGAGGGAGAGACAGGGTAAGCAATCAGGACTAGCCAATACATAATATGTGCTGTTCAGCAGAATGACAGCATACAAATATTAACCTCACACTATCTCTAACTGTACCTACAATCTCGCCTCTTTTTCGCTGTTCGTATCCCAATATTGCCTTGTCTCTCTTCCCATTCTGTGCCTCTGCAGCCATCTCATGCAGGGAGCAGAGAAGACCTGTGTGGTGTAGTGGGTGAAGTGGTGGATCTGGTGACTGGGGAGGGGTGGAAGAGAGGAGGAGGAGGAGGAGGGGCGGGGTCCTCTGTTCTGCACCAGTGTCTGCAGCTGCAGGTGGTTGCCGTGTGTGTCCATCTCCTCGGTGGTGCAGTCTCCGGGAGACTGGAGGGACTCGTCTACCAGCTGCTGTCCATGAGAGGCAGTCCCCACCCCCAGGTCTCTCTCCAGGCCCTCTCCACCCTCTCCTGTCTCACCTCCACCACTGGTGCCAGGTGGGGGCAGTAAATCAATCTCAACTCAATCTATATTCTGTATAGCTCTGATGAGAAACTAGCAGACTCACTTACGTCACAGCTTAGTTAGCTAGCTGCATTGTCTCTGTCCAACGCACAGGAGTCTGTCACGGCTGATCTCTGAGAATGCAGACTACCTCGTTAACTCCGTCTGTCTGGGTCTGAGAAGCCACACCCACTCTCACGAGTCACTACAAGTACTACAGGCTGTAATGGATCATGGGTTGAGTACACCACGCTTGTTTATTTCTATGACGTCATGATGGCATCATCACAGATCAGAGGAGGTGCTGCCACTGATGAGAGATTCCATCGACGAACTTCTTCTATCGCTAGACTTGCAGCTTGCTGGTAATGAGGGGGTGTGGTCTGTACTGAGGAGCCTTGCAGCTGCTCTGCATCGATGGTCTCCAGAAACTGTAAAAGTGAGTTGAAAGGTCAGAGCTCAGAGTTCAATTTCGTTTGTGTGAATAGAAAGAAGGGGTGGAGACAAGAGGAGGAGGTTGCCACGACGACAGGAGAGGTTGTGAAGATGAAGATTTCAGTGGATATTTCAAGAGTCTGAGGAGAAGGAGAGAAGAGGAGGAGGTCGATGACGAAGGAGAGGGAGGAACAGTAGACGAAGGTATGGTCTGTGTGGTTTGAGGGATGGTATCTAATGAGAGACGAGTGCAGGTGGGTCTGAGCCAGTGCTGAGTCCAGTGGAGCGGGCTGCGGTGGACATCCTGGAGAGATGTCCTCACTACCTCCCCTCCTCCCCCTCCTCCTCCCCTTCTCTCCCTCTCACTGTCCTGGACTGTCTCCACCACTGTCTCCACTGTCTCAGCCACACCCACCGCGCCCTCCTTCCCCTTGTCCACAAGGTCCACCAAACTAGTATACACTATCATTTTTCGTAAAATTGAGATTTATCACCATTGCTAGGTGTGGTCCCGTAACTACTATTGCTGTTGCTAGGTGTGGCTCTTGTGTAGATTACTGTAACTATTGCTGTTACTAGGTGTGGCCTTCCCTGTTGCTAAGGCTGAGTGACCCCGCCCACCTGGTGGCTCTAAAAGCTCTCGAGCTACTGTGGGACTTGTGTGAGGTGTGTGGAGACTTTATACGGAGGAGGGTGGTGAAGGGGGTGTGGCCAGTGATTGCACAATCTCTGACGAGACTGGCGGAGGGGAGCCGAGGGTCTGCGGCTGTGTACCAGTACTCCGTGGCCTGCAAACTGCAGATGAAGATGTTGGACACTGTGGCTGTCCTCTCTGTCAAACTACAGGTGTGCAGTTTTTTATGTCTCTGCTTCACTTGGATAGCTGTGTTCCATTCCCCAAGTGAATCAGTCAGTGTATGAATGGTGACCACACCCCCTCTCCACAGGTCAGCTCCAGTGACCTGGAGACACTGGCAGCAGCCTGTCTACCTTACCTCAGTCGCCACCAGCCACAGAGACTCGTCAATACCTGTCAGTCCAGTCTGACCGCTCTCGTGAACTCTGACCCCGACCTCCTATGGCTCCTCCTACATCAGCTGGTTCCCACGGCGACCACACCTCCACCACACCCCTCTCTCCTTACCTACAAGGTACGCCACTCTACTGTTCTTCAATTCCTCTCCTTCTCCTTCTCTTCAGTTCCCGAAACTCTCTTGTTCCGAGGAATTTGCTGACACTGTCCCTCCTCTACTGAAAATGACTCGTGAATATCAATGATGTCATCATTACCTCGTAATCATAATCACAGTCTCTTTGACAACACAATGCATTCGGTTTTCGTTTCTGAATCGCAAACAATATTTTCAATCAGTTTCAATTTTGTACTTCATCACTTGCTGTTTACCGGTATAAAAACAAAATCATAAAGTGTGAAACGAAAAGGAAATTTACAAACAATCCGTTATGACGATATAATGCAAAAGGGAGGGATATTGCGTCAGAAAAGTATTTAATAGTGTAATATGATGCAAAAGGGAGGAATAAATAATATGTAATTAAAAAGTCCAGTCTGGACATGTGGAGTTAATGATGAACAAACGATTTGGTTATGAGTGCTGTGTTCAGGGTGGGCATGGCAGGTGGGTGTGGCTAAATGGTGGTATGTCGGAGGGCAATAGTGGTGAGGTAATGGTGTGTGTGTTGCTATGTTTCTTCCTGTATTGGAGAGAATGGGAGGGACCCTGGAGGGAAGGTTGGGGAGTAGACGGAACTGCTGCGACCTATTCGCTGCCCAAATGACCCCAGCAACATTCTGTGAGAGAGGGGATGAGGGGGAGAGGAGAGAGAGTAACAGTATATAGCATAATAATGCGACGAGCAAGTGATGGGAAGGACAGGCTAACCAACCATCCTCAATACTCTGACTATAGCTAGAGTGTGCAGTGCAAGTAATCCCTGGTATATATATACCTGTGGGAAAAGGTGGCCTAAACTTTTTGTACTTTTAGTAAGCAAGTGGGGGGAAGGACAGGCTAACCAACCATCCTCAATACTTTGACTATAGCTAGAGTGTGCAGTGCAAGTAATCCCTGGTACCTGTGGGAAAAGGTGACCTAAACCTTTTGTACTTTTAGTAAGCAAGTGGGGGGAAGGACAGGCTAACCAACCATCCTCAATACTCTGACTACAGCTAGAGTGTGCAGTGCAAGTAATCCCTGGTACCTGTGGGAAAAGGTGGCCTAAACTTTTGTACTTTTAGTAAGCAAGTGGGGGGAAGGACAGGCTAACCAACCATCCTCAATACTCTGACTACAGCTAGAGTGTGCAGTGCAAGTAATCCCTGGTACCTGTGGGAAAAGGTGGCCTAAACTTTTTGTACTTTTAGCGAGCAAGTTTCCTGAAACTGTTCTTGGAGGAAGAAAGGTGTCCTTATTAGAGAGTTTCAAGGCTGCCCTTATAACAGGGATACCACTGTAGTTGAGTCATTAAAGACCTGAAGATTATATGCACAGAAAAGCCTCCATAAATCCTCCATACACCCTCACTAATTCAGAATCCAGAGGAGGCAGGGTTGCTGACCCTCTCACCTCAGTTCCTGAAATCGTTTCTTCTCCCCGGCATTCTCTGGAGGCTCGATTTCAAAGGACGCCAACTGCAGCTCTGCAGAGAGAGGGATATATAGCATGAGTGGGTGTGGTCTAGCTGTGATTGGTGGGTGTGGCCTACCATCATCAGTATGGATGGGGATGGTCATGAGGTAGTTGAGAACACCTCTCACTCTCGAGAACGGAAGCTGCGGCAGTCAGTGAGAAGAAGAGAAAGAGAAAGTGTCATAAGCGTAAAATGACAGTTGCATGCACATCCATCCATGAGGAAATACAGTGCCATTTCAGCTAGCATGGCCCAGCATGTGTCCCCATACACACTCTCCCGATGTACATGTACATGAGTATTATACTCACCACTGTCTCCTTGTAGGCCAGTATCTGTGACACCAGTCTAGCCAGAGCCATGCACTTCTCAAACCTGATGTGCCCACTGGGCAGTCTGCACATGGAGGAGGACTTTGGCCTAACAATACACTGGAACTGTACATACGCCGATGGTCACTACAACGCATGCTGCAGCTATAGTCAAGGTATTCAGGATGGTTGGTTTGCCTGTCCTTCCCCCCCGCATTCTTGCAAAAGTACGAAACATTAATTTACCCCATCCACAGTGACGGATTGCAACCAAAAGGGAAGAGGGGGAAAAGGTGATAATAAAGTGCAATGCTCTGTCGCAGGGTGCAAAAGCTGATGCAACTGAGTCATGTGCATTTGATATCTGGGTCGTGAATATCAATATCTGAGTATGAATGTAATTACACGGATCCAATCACATACTTCCCCAGGCCAGCCGTGGAAACAAACAAGGCAGCTGCCGTTGCTAGTAAACACCTCTAATTCCGATATTCATGGTGATGTGGGCAGCTCAACCATATGGCCTAGGGTCCATTGTATTATTGTAGCTTCTCAAGCCCTAGCTCTATAATATCGGCATATACCAGGCCCACCTAATTTCCAACATTGCGATATCTCAAACGACGCTGTCATACTGCAATGGTATTCATACGTAAGAATATATACATACATGCAAACTGCTTAAATTTAAATTCTGCTCGCGTGTTTGTTCGCCAGAAATATGTGTCGGATTCTTTCATACTGTGCACCACAATGAGATCCATGATCAAACTGTCACTGCACTATATGTGGTCCAACAGATCTTGTTACACAACTTCTGGCTGCAATCAGTCCTCGAATGACAATAGAGCGTGGTTTCATGCCATACACAGTCACTTAATCTATAGCTATTATTACTGGGGGGTCAAATCCTATTGTCTTTCGTCTGATGAGTTCAGTTACCACCACTGGCATTTGGTGCTGCTCTAAACCAGTTAAATACGATCGCTGGTTTCTGGCCTTACATAGAAATTCCATCATTTTGCCACGTTTTAACTTGTAATCTCAGTCTAATTAATTTCAGCCGAACCGTTGAACCTTCTACTGCATTTAGAGGATTCCAGTTAATAACCATCACAGTGTGAGTGACAACGCGAACTAATCTGGAGGTTTTAGGCCAACCTATAGTCAGTGCGTCGATTACCTGTTGCTCATCCCCTCGTTGAGAAAATAGAGGTCTTTGACGAGGAGGGAGAAGAAGGGAACCACACACATTTTCTCTCTGCTCTTGCTGGCCTGTGCAAAGGCCGACACCAGAGCGTGGCGATAGGTGGAAAAGTTGCTGAATGGATCGACAAACGCCTGAGGAAATGAGAGAGAATGGAGGAAAAAGAGAGAGGGAGAGATTTGAGGGAGAGAGGGAGAGGCGAGTTAATTATTGCAGGGTATGTGCTAATGCCAACTTACCTCAATTGTATGAAGTTTTGAAGAACTGACTTTTGATCTCTGAAACAAATAAGAGTGGGGGGAGTGAGAGCGAGAGCGAGAGGGGAAGAGGGCTTCTTACCGTTCTCTTCAGTCGGGTAACTGGGCTCATGAACAAGCCAGCTGCACAGAGAGTAGACAGAGAGAGAGGAGGAGGAGAAAGAAGAAGAACAAGATGGCGTCACATGTAGAGTATTAACAACGTCATTTGATGATATGGTGCAACAACGGATGGTTGTTGTTTCAGGCACACGCACCCTCGCCGGTGAGTCTGCTCGAGTGTTTGCAGACAGAAGCCTCAGAGCAACGCAGCCTTACCACTCCATACGCTCCCAACTCATGACTCGAGGAAAGCCGCCAACGGTTCAGAGGAAGCTAGGAAATTGACTCAGGTGCTGGCCATATCTGAGACAAAGTCTAGAACTATAAAATAAAGCTTCTGTTTCGAGGCCAATTGCATCCCTACATTCAGGAAGATGACAAGTTGAGGAAGAGAGAGAGGGATCTGAGGTCACATGGTCCAGCGACCCCGGATGCCGCTTGGAGCGTTCCCACGACGACGAGTCTTGGAAAACGCTGAATCATAAACCAACACGGGAAATGCCAGTGCCATGACAAGACCAGTCTTCATGGCACTCGCTAGCAATGGGACCTACTGAGGGCTTGTTCTAATGAGGCAGTCGTAGGATGCAAACAGCGAGTGCTGGCAAGGAGAGAGAGGAGGGGGGCAGGAATGATATTGACTGCAAACAACTACATCTCCCATGGACCATGTGTACTGTGGAATCCCTCTAATCCAGATACCAATACGACAGAAACAATGTGTTAATACTAGTGAGGTGTCAGTATTCCAGGGGTTAAATTGCATGTGCAAGAACCGTTCTCGGGGAAAGAAAAGGAGAGAGGTGTCCTCATTTCAGGGGTGTCTTTAGAGAGGGGTTCCACTGTACATCACATGACTGTCATGTGACATACCACTAATGGCCATGAAGGAGTTAAAGTTGTTGAGTTTGCGACACTCTGCGGCCGTGTCCAGGAAGAATTCAAGCAGTTTTGCTCTGTTCCGTTTCTTGTCCGATACACAGATCTCCGTGGCAACCAGGTAGCTGAGTCGGTTGAACCACTCGACATATGCCTCGATGTTTGATGTTTTCTTCATGTCCCGATAGAGAGGCTGAGGAAGAGAGGGAGGGGAGAGGAGGGGGAGGGAGGGAGGAAGGAGGATTATCAAGGAGGTGAACTCATAATGTGGCTGGAGCGGGAAACCTCAGTCAAATTTCAGGGTATATCTTGGGTGCTTAATTCTTAGAAATGAGTGTACTACATCATTAGCCATGCATGGGAGAGGGGGAAGGAGAGAGGGGGAAGGCATGAGAGGGAAGAGAGAGGGGGCAGGAGACGAGGGGGAAGGAGAGAGGGTGGAACGAACGAGAGGGGGAAGGACAGCAGAGGAGGAAGGAGGCGGGGAAGGAGAGAGAGAGGGGGAGCGAGCGAGAGGGGAAGGAGAGAGGGGGAGAGGAGGAGGGAAGAGAGAGGGGGAAGGCAGGAGGAGGGAAGGAGAGAGGGGGAAGGAGAGAGGGGGAAGGAGAGAGGGGGAAGGAGAGAGGGGGAAGGAGAGAGGGGGAAGGAGAGAGGGGGAAGGAGAGAGGGGGAGGGAGAGAGGGGGAGGGGGAGAGGGGGAAGGAGAGAGGGGGAAGGAGAGAGGGGGAAGGAGAGAGGGGGAAGGAGAGAGGGGGAGGGGGAGAGGGCAGTAGTGATAAGAGAGGCAATAGGAACTGTACTAAAGCCACAGGAACTGTGGTGTGGGCATACCTCAGTCTCCTCTGGACATCTGACAAAGGTCTGGATGAACTCTTCTGGTCCTATGTTGTTCAGTCGCTCCTGTCCATGGAGAGGAGGTGTGTGTGTGTGTGTGTGTGTGTGTGTTGAGAAACAGTAATGAAGGGCGTTGTTGACACCTTAATGCACTAGTTGAATAGAACATACCAGTTCAATATGAGTCAGCTGCTGGGCCAATTCCTGAGGCGAGTCACATACTGACAGAATGTTTACCTGTACATACATACAAACATACACAGAGGAATGCATGACCCTGTCACATATGGTACACCTACATAGCTAGCTACGAGAAGAAGGAAAGAAATGAGAGTGATGAATAAATGAAAACCACCACATCCTCTTAGCAGAAAAGACACAAACATGTATAACATGAGCCGGAAGAGAAGAGAGTAGATATGTATATACCTGTGTCTTAGGGTTGATTAATCTCTCCATGGAAACGGCGTTCACCTGGGCCAGGATGTGCTCATATTTGTCGAGGACCGAGAGCTTCTTTACGAGGGCCGCTTGCAGCTGGCCGACCAGTCTCCTCAGCTCCTGCACAACACGTTATGTACAGTTTAGTGAGCCAAGTGCTTAATGCCATATCCATTATACAGCAGTTACACCAACAATTATTCATGAAAAATTGTACGACATGCTACTGTTCTTTAATGCCAGTAAGGCGAATCAAAATTGCAGTATTTCTTTAGAAAGACCTCACAATGCTAAAGTGAGTATATTATACTAAATGTTTTGTGAACTAGTGTCTTTATTAAAATTTCCCCCTATAATATACAGTGTACACATGGAACAGAGAGTGGTGGGCGAGAAAGAAGAAGAAGAAGAAGAAGAAGAACTTACAGGTGAGAGGGAGGCACAGTGTTGGGTGACATCTTTCAGTGACCTCATCATCCTCTCGTCTCTGAAGTCGTACGGAAACATCTCCGCCCACTCGCTGCCATGGCAACCGGGGGGGGAGGAGGAGAGGTGGTATGTGTAGGTAATTTGTTCTTGAAATGTTGGACGATGCATTCCTTGTAATTTAACAACTCCCAACACGGAATGGAAAAGAGTAGGAGTGAGAGAGAGAGAGAGAAGGGAGAGAAGGGAGGGAGGGAGGGGTGGGGTGCTGGATAGTTATATACTAGAATACCTGAGGAGTTCGACTATCTTGTTGGCTGGTCCGGAGTCCTGGAGGTGAGGAGAGGAAAGACAGATGAAACGGTGGTTTGAATAGCAGCGGGCACTTACTGTTGAGGAAGAAGGTTGCTGTTTCTGGAGTGAACTGAAGATCTGCACGTGCACAGAGACAGACAGACAGACAGACATTAAGAGAGAGAAGGCAAGATAAGCGAGGTATATAAAGAGGACACTGACCTTTGTCACTCTCCCCAGCAGCTGATGAGGCTGGATGAAGAGCCGTGAACACAGAACAAATGCAAACACATATGACTGCTGTTGAGGTGAGAGAGAAGAGAGCTCATTACTGAAGACCACACCCATAGCCACACCCACCTCAATCTGGTGTGTCTGAGAGGGTAATAGTAGAGAGATGAGTCCATCGAGGGAGCCAGCTACTACCACTCCGTCCTTGTACACAACCTCCTGTAACAACAACAACAACAACAACAATCAAAACAGCAAGTGACGTCAGAGCAATGAGGGAAGGTGTACATAAGGAACCACATGTCAACAACATGTAGATGGTGTGTCAGATAAGGTAAGGCAATAAAGTGGACGATGACAATATTGGTACAAGAGATCTTTACAAGGCAGTGGTTTCAACATGAGACGGACTAATACGTGCATTGTGTGTGTCGACCGAATGCCGCGGAATAAAGTATAACATTTCATCCGTATCGCGATAAGGTCTTGGATTTCTCCGGGTGTGCTGCATGTAATCTGATTGGTAAAATATTGTGTCAACAACAGAAATTCGATATCTGACGATGCACCCAGAATTTGCTCCGCTCCATTTAGCGTCACTATGGACCTAACTGTTACATAACTAATCAACAAGAAATGCCAGTGGGCTCAATATTAGGACATGAGTGGTGGTGGAAGGCGAGGAGTTCGTGTAGCGACAGCTGTACACGTAACTCGTTTAGTCTCCGGGGAAGCCGTAGCAACATCTCATCCAATAAAACCAATAAATGAGGAATGTAGTTCTTGTGTCCTCGATTCCCGACCCATCTCCTTCCAGAGAACCGGTGGTGGAGGAAGGAAGCTGATGGATGGAGTGCCGAGCTATATGTCTCCAAGTTTGGGGAATTGGACGAGTGGTGAAGATGACAGCTGCATTGTTCCGCCATACCACAGAGGAGGCCAGGTATCGTCAATGGCAACAGAAATCAGGGATAGCTCTTGTTTGTTTGTTGTCTCTTGTCTCAAGAAGGCAGTGAGTGAGGCCACGGGCTTCGACCGACCACCGCACAAAGACCCCGTGGCATGTAAATAAATCCACGGCAGAGGGAGGTCTAGAGGCTTCGCACAGAGGGACTCAGACATCTGTAGGTTGTACTATTTTGTCTAGGTCACTCATTATCATAACCAGCAGAGGTGCATATGTATGTATTATAATGTAATATATTATAGTATAATACAATACTCCATTCAAGGGTGTGTATGAATGCCAATTATTAATTAATAATCATTGGCATTCATACACACCCTTGAATGAGCAGATTATCATCATTTATCATCAGATATCTTTGAGCCATAATGGATCTAAAACAAATGATTAAAAATCTGGCATACCAACGTCTCAGTAGCGTCTGAGCGATTCATTATCATAACAATCAGTAATTAATACAATGCTAGGTATGTGATATGCTAGTATATATCATAAGGTTCAAAGGGCTTAATCTGGCAAGGCTGTGTTGTCTGATTAGCTCATTATCATAACACAGTAAGACAACACAGACCAAAGGAGGTATATATATACATACACACTCTATCATACTATCAAAGGTAATGCAGTTGACAGAGTATCATATGTATATAGCAATGTATATATAGAAATGTACACACAGTCTGTGAGGTGTATTATAATGATAGGGGAAGAGTACAATGTGTGCGTGAGTGTCAGAAAGTGGGGACTTGGCAGCTGTGTCTGAGCAAGGGGCCAGTGAGACTGCCGGCGCGTACTCCTAGTGGATTGCGACATACTTCATACACTCCACCCGACAATGTTTGCTCACTAAATCGACTAATAGACGCCGCTAGCAACGCAGCCCTAGCAATGCTCAGAGAGATGGGATGGAGAGGTATGTGCAAGATGTAGTATTTGTCGTCATTATTTACACATAGCCAATTTAATTATGGCACAAATATTCCGCAGTATGTGAAAACATGTGCCAAGTCTGTATCCTGCGACTGGGCTTTATCAGAAACAGCACGCAGGCTTCTTTCCCAGAGAGTTGGATCGATTACCAATGACGGCAGAATAGCGAGAGAGAGAGAGAGAGGTACATTACAAGAATTTCTTCATCAGGAGATTGTGAAGAGTGTAGAAGATTGAATCTACAAACCTGACTATACACAGTAAGCCTCTACTAAAGTAGAACAGTTCATCATGAATTTTATGCCACGTTTACACTGTTGTGTATATACCTCTGAGTTAGGATCCACTGAGGAGGAGGAGGAGGGAGGAGGAGGTGAAAGGAGAAGAGAAGTGGAGGTCTGTGGCTGAGGGAGAAACGGAACGAGAGGGCCTTTACAACTAGCCATATCTGAACACTGCTACGAACTGAGCCGCAGACTGCCGCAGTCTGTGTTATATAGGACGGTATCAAACTACAGGGGAGTCAGCTAATGTCGTTATCCACCCAACCTCCCACTCCAGGACTGTAGCTCACGTTTCACAAACCGTAACCATCCCCCTTTCACACAATGCCTCTCAGCAATGTCAGATACATGCACACTAGGGGGGAGGATAGGCTAAGGTGTCACTATTGTACCTGGAACACCAGCTCCAATTACATTACATCATTATTACATCGCCTATTTATGGAGTCATGTGATAATCATGCTGGCTTACAGTGGAGTCAGGTGATCTTGTTTCAGGAGGGGGGACGAAATGCCCGAAGAGCGACGGCTGTATCAGAGAGAGGGAAGAGAGGGAGATGGAGGAGAGAGAGGGAAGAGAGGGAGAGGGAGGAGAGAGAGGGAGAGGGTAGGGAGAGAGAGAGAGCTGGGAGGGCAGAGCGATTAGTAGTCGGGAGAGGGAAGCGAGAGGGAGAGGGAAGAGAGAGAGGGAGAGGGAGAGGGAGAAGGATGTGGTAAATGCGACATTTCACAGTCACAAAGGCAGAGGAAAGAGGGAAGGAAGGGGAGTAGGATGTGTGACTATTGGCGGGTCAGGTCTTGGGACACAGGGTGCAGACATGGAGGAAGGCCTAGCGGAGAAGAAGAGAGAGACATGAAAAGAGAGGGCAGATCCTGGAAGCCTCACTACAGGAGGTCAGCCCAGAAGCTCCTGGCTTCAAGCTGGGTACACTGAGGACATATAGGAGGAGGATATTCAATTACATCACCACACCTGGGATTATGAGGTTTCACGCTTCCCCAAGTCACAATCCCTCTGCAGGTATTGGGGATTCGGCAGACTGGCACTGGCTGAGGCTTTTCCAGCTTCCCCTGGGCAGTTGCCAAACCTACCCACGTTCCTCTGGGAAAGGACCTCCAGAATGAAGAATACCACTCTACAAATGACACTGTGGTTCTGCCCCAAACTGTGATTCATATACTGCTGTACATCTGAATAAGGGACACCTCTCAACTAATGGTACTTTCAACGTCCCCAAGGTGCTCTTGTCAAGATGTTTCAACGTCCCCAAGGTGCTCTTGTCAAGATGTTTCAATGTCCCCAAGGTGCTCTTGTCAAGATGTTTCAATATTGTAATATACTCTCTCCACCCTTTACTATAGTATAGAGCCTCTTGACAGTTGTAAGGCTAACTGTGAGAGAACACAAGCCTCTGAGAGCCACATTCCAAGAAATCCCACCACCTCCTCCTCCTCCTACTCCTCCTCCTCCTTCTTCTTCTTCTTTTTCTTCTGCCTCATGAAACCTGCCTCTGCCTCATGAGCCTCTGGTGCATTCCAATCTGATGAAAGTCTGGGTGAATTCCGTCACAACGTGACATCATCTCTGCAACATGTAGACACAACTGCAAACCAGGATTTCAGCAGGATATGGGGAATCCCCTCATTGGTATCTGGGGTGTATGTGTGTATTATAATATGTGGTTTCCCCACATACACCCAGTGAGGAGGATATTACACCACCTGCCACCTAGTCCACACTCCAGGCTGCCACACCACACACCCAGTGAGGAGGATATTACTGCACCTAGTCCACACTCCAGGCTGCCACATACACCCAGTGAGGATATTACTCCACCTAGTCCACACTCCAGGCTGCCACATACACCCAGTGAGGATATTACACCACCTGCCACCTCCAGGCTGCCACACCACACACCCAGTGAGGAGGATATTACTCCACCTAGTCCACACTCCAGGCTGCCACATACACCCAGTGAGGATATTACACCACCTGCCACCTCCAGGCTGCCACACCACACACCCAGTGAGGAGGATATTACTCCACCTAGTCCACACTCCAGGCTGCCACACCACACACCCAGTGAGGAGGATATTACTCCACCTAGTCCACACTCCAGGCTGCCACATACACCCAGTGAGGATATTACACCACCTGCCACCTCCAGGCTGCCACACCACACACCCAGTGAAGGATGTCTGAAGAATGTTAACTGAGTGAGCCTCAAATCATGTCACAGTGAGGAGGGAGACAATGGGTCAGAGGGTGATCAAAGCTAATTCCAGCTACTAGTGGCCAATTAAACTACCACCCAACCACACACGCTGTACCAGCCACACGCACACACTACTATAAATTTAGCACACACGTTAGCGTGGCGGCGACCAAGCAAGCTCTAGTGCAAGAGAGAGCAATTTACCCTCTCGACAGACTGTTTATTTTTTACAACTGTGGGCACATTGGAAAAGAAGGAGAAAGAAGAGGTGACGGCTCTCACTCTTGGTCTGGGCGTGTGCTTGGCCCCGAGGCCGATGGCCGGCAGGCTGCGAGAGGCCTTCATTTTGGGTCTCTTCTGAATGAGGCCAGCCACTGCAATGTCCTTCATCTCCTGATACAGTCTCTCATACTGCATCTTGATACGCCTGCACACACACACACACACACACACAGTGAATGTAGCACACTAAAACAATCATTCGCAAAAAAATTACTTTCACCTGAACATTTTATACAGTACTAGGAGCCCTCTCATGAGTATTATTTACAGTTTAAAACCCTCCTAATCCGGACAGCGGTGAAGAGCAAGGAAGCGTCTCTATTAGTGATGTGTCCTTCTTACAGGGGTTGAGAAATATGTATTGCTGAAAAGGTGTCCCCATTGTCAGGGGTATCCTGGGTTCCACAGAATAGGTCATTAACTAAACCATTAGTTAGACCACAGGATAATATACAGAGGAGCCACCTCGTTACTGTTAATTACTTATTGCCTCCTCACATGTAATTCTCTTCCTGGGCCTGCAGTTGTTTGGCCTGTGATGTAAGAGATACATTGAATTACGATTACGTCGTATTAATCTACAGAGTTACAGGGCAGAGGTCAACACGCACTGTTGGGTGGCCACACCCCCCTATTAACCCACTGTGTACAATGTCTGTTGGAAGTCACACATAAGCACTTGTATACAAGCTGTTTGTTGCCACGCCTTCTTAGTGCTCCGTAGTACGAATGTCAAGCAAATATGGATGGATCCGTTTGTTAATGTGTGTGTGTGTGTGTGTGATTATCAGCAACTGACAAATTAGGCACACAAGTCACAACACCTTGCTGGAGGTGGCAGCTGAGTCGCCATGCCGACCAGCCTCTATCTCTAACTTTAGGACCTTCAGTTTCTTCTCCTCTGCCTCCATTAGTTTCTCCGTCACCTGGGTAACCACATGACCCGCAGGAAATTAGTGACATCACAAATACCTATCAACATGTGTACTAGCTATTCCAGTAGGGCTTTCGCTGTGTATCATTTGCCATATCGAATTTAGGAATCTGAGGACGGAGCCAAGTGTTTACTACGGCTATTTTGGGGGTGTGGCGCGTGCAAGCACAGCTGTTGATGGACCAGCTACTAGAACTCGATACGCTGCGCCCCCGCCCAGCCAGAAACGGGAGAGAGATAATGTTCTGTCGTTTTGGCAGAAGAAACGGCTCCTCTATTTTGTTTATCGACTTGAGAACGGAGGGTATCTCCGAGCGGGCCCCTCTCTCACCTCCAGCTGTAGGCTGAAGAGGTCCCGGCCGAACTTGACCTGCTCGCTGGGGCGGCGGGCGGGCTGCTCTCCCTCCGCCGCTTCCCCACACCCAGAGCTCATCTTGCACCTCTGGGTGGAAACCCTGGTCCCTTAGCAGGACGGAAGATGAGGTCCGGAGGGTGGGTGTAAACAAGGCGCCCCACCACGCTAGTGGGTGTTGTCTCGCGAATCGATAATCCTCGCGCGAGCTACGAGCCACGCCCTTTTTTGCTTAGCAACCGCAGTTTGCGCAAGACCTGCCGTCGTCGTTGGCCCGACGGCCGTCATGAGCCATGCTGCCTACCACATGGAGGCTCTGAGGAGACAGAGGCTAATAGACAGGGCCTCTGCATTGCGGAAACAACGAGAGAATCAGGTCACAACGTGCTTCCTTCCCTGCGGGGGTCCTGAGCTATTGCTGAGTTTTCAGTCTGTCCCTGCACAGGAGGAGGTCAGGGGAGAGGCGAGAGATGCAGTCACGCAGACAGAACAACAGCCTGTCGGCAGCAGGGCTTCATCGTCTGCTGTTAGCTCCTCTAAATGTCGCTCTGATTCTAGGAAGAGCTCAAAATCAGGGAGTTGTAAGCAGGGAGACTGGACCAGCTCACTATCTGGGGAGCGGAGGAGCCAGTCAGCCACCTCGAGACGGTCCTCGTGTGAGGAGACAGGGAGCTCAGTGGTAACAGACATGTCCAGCAGGAAGGAAGCCTGTGGCAGCAGCTACAGTGCCAGGTCATCCAGACTGCCATCCCGACATCCTCATCCTTCAGGGGAGCAGTCTTCCCGGAGTGGGCTGCAGGAGGAAGGCTCAGCTGGTTCGAGGAAAAGACAGAGAACTCCATCCCACCAGTCTTCCCCGGAAATTGGAGCACCTCGTGATGGGCCAAATTCTGTGAGAGCCACTTCCAGACCGGCGTCTCAGACTAGCAACAGCAGCAGGAGAAAGAGGAAGAACAGTGGGTCCGTCGGGTCACCTTCTTCTCCATCTCACTCCACACCTCCACAGGAGGAGTGAACTTCGTATAATAGTATCGCGTGTATGTGTGGTCAGTCCATAGCTCACATGGCATGCTGCTATCATAATATATAGAATGTGTGTGGTATAAATGGAAAATATGTGTGCTTGTATTTGCATGTGTTGTGACTAGACTGGCACAGTATATGGGCTAATGATGCCCAAAACCAACTCTGCATGACGGATTTACACAGTGCGCACCCAAGGTTAATTGCAACAGAATTCATGCAAGAATTTATGTTATCTTTGGGAACTCCCTACTGGGCATAGCTATCATTCCAGAAAACAGTATATACAATCTCGAATAAAGATGCTAATGCGCATATGCGCGGGGGAAACGTGGGCGTGCGTTGATGATATAAAGCTGCAAAGTGAGGTTGCTTTCCCAGTAAGCGAAAAAAGTGGTCTTGGACCTCGAAAATGACTCGGTTAACGCTCGCGTTACTTGCAACTCTCTCCTTCGCCTCGTTTCTGTACGACACCGCCGCGACTACGACGGAAGCAACCTACCAAGAATACATGTCTCTAATGAACGCCAAGATGGTGCTGCGAAACTTACAACGGACTAGAGAAAAGCGGCAGAGGATCCAGGGAAGCCACTGCCAACTATTCCCGCTCAACCTGACGGTGACCACGCAGGAAGGCTGCGCCGGCAACATCCCATACTTCGGTTGCGCTGGAAGATGTCGGACCACGGAAATACCCCATCATTACTACTCCAGGTAGCCAGCCAGCTGTCTAGCTAGCTCTATAGCTAGCTCACGCTTGTTATGCAACAACGGTGCAGAAATTTCCTGGATTGCACGATGCATTACAGACACGAGGCCCAACAGCGTGTCGCTAAAAGGAGACCGTCGTGTAGTAGTGTGTGTGGCCCTGCAGCAAGCTAGAGCTAATGCACGGCATTCCACTCCTGATTTGCTGTAATGGAACTGTAGACACTATGGTTTACATGTCAGGGACGCGTAATGCTCTCCGGAATCTTCCCTTTGGAAATATTGCATCCCGACAAGCAACAATAAAACTTCAACGATTTTCTAAGATGGTCCTGCAGCAGCTTACACATAATCTAATCAGGCCTTCTATAGATGAGGGAATTCATACACGGGTCAGGGTGCACACGTGTGTGTAGTACTCAACAATACTATACGTTACTGTAATTGTGGGTGGCTGGGCATCCTGTGAGGAAATGCCCTGTATGGGATAGGAGAAATATGGGATGCTATGTAACATTGAGTAATCATTTTCTTGTATATTATGTCTTCCTTCTTCCCCTGCAGACAAGATGCAAATGTCCCCAATCCAATGATAAGCACCTGCAAATGCTGCAGTCACACATCGGCACTGCTCACTGTCTCAGTTACAGCTCTCAACCACACATGCATATCAGCAGACAATTCAACATCGTTTGTCACAGAAGACTACATTCTTCTCCTCCCACAGGACTGTAGTTGTGCGGCCTGTGTCTAAAAGTGGCACACTTCTCTCTGTCTGTCTGTCTGTCTGTCTGTCTTTCTCCACTGCTCCCTCAGCCTCCCACTCCTTCATACACTGGTCACTTCATATCTATTGTCCGTCAGATCAGCCAATCATATATTATATATCATCCAAATGGCATATCAGAGTTTTATTTTTTTATGGTAAATCTGAACAGTTTTCTAGCGTCATAAACTAAGTGCGCATGCGTACTCGTATGCTTATGACCGCGCGCGCATGCGTGCGAGTATACGTATGTGCGCGCGCGCGCGCGCGTCTTCATAAAGTGCGCATGCGTATGCGCGAAAATGACGCGGCGCGAAGTGGATGCTCAGCCAGCCAATGGTGCAGTGATGGCGGTGGGGGCGATGCGCAGAACCTGGTGTACAAATACACGCTGCGCAGCCTACCACTGAGGCTTCACCAGGCATAAAACCAGCGAGAGCGGGGCGAGATCCACTGCACGGCAAACTCTCGATAATACACTGACCCCAGATGGAGCACTATCCTCTGACTCTTCTAGCCATATACTCGGCAGCAGCTCTGCTGCAACTGCGCGTGTCGCTGTTGGCCAGTGCGCAGTCCGGGGAGCTGAGACCGGGCTCCGGGTCGGGGGCAGAGGACGCCGACACCTACAGTCGGCTCATGGACGAGATGACGAGAAACGTCAACAACCATACCGCATCAGTCGCGAAACCAGGAGAAATAGGCAGCGGTGGAGGTCCGCTCACTCCAGGCCAGGCTTTCTGCAACCTCTACTCTCACTACTTGCGGCTGGAGTTCCAGGGCTGCGTCGGCGAATACCCGACTTTCTCATGCGCCGGCCGATGCAACTCCGAGCAAAGACCCAACGTCTTCCGCAGGAGGTGAGTGATAGAACAACCGCAGCAGACCAGAAACTGTAGATCTGCATTAGCTATAGTCCCATGTAATAATAGCACAGATTCTCCGATTATTATTGGTTCTTCATTCTCCGCTCTGCAGACAAGACGCGCGAGTGGATCCGTTCATCACCACGTGCAATTGCTGCAGCAGCACAGACTGGGGAGTGATTGGTTTACACCTCAACCTCACTTGCGCAGACAACTCAACCGTAACTGTACGCCATGTCAGTGTCTTTGCCAGGAACTGTGGCTGTACGGCATGTTATTAGTATAATGTCTTCCTTCATCTAGAAACATCAACCATCCCAACAACAGGCTCAACTTCACTCTCTTTTGTTCTCCCTAAAAATACATGTCCATAGATAAATTATATATCATCTCAGGCCCATCAGATCGGCTTTAAAATTTGCTGTCATGTTTATTATACAGCTGGCCTGTGTCTCAAGCAATATTTTGTACAAATCATCAAACAACAAAGATTTTATATGGAGTAAAAAGACTACATTACATATGTCACTGTGCATGTTTGACATACAATTCTAGATTTTGAGCTCACAAAGTGTTTGGAATCAGTTAGTTATGGGATGATACCTCTCTTTCTCCCAATGTCGATGAAAGCAGAGATGCATTGGTCCAGGTCAGTGTGACTGTGTACGGCTGAGATCTGGACCCTGATTCTGGCTTCACCTGCAGTGCAGAGTCAAAACACTGGCATTGGCAGTTCTGCGACAGTTATTCCGTAGCTCAGTGGAGGAAGGTGACGCCCATTCAGACAACCAGCCATGAAAATGCCTCACCTTTTGGAACAACTGGATAGCTGAACCCGATCACGTAGATCCCTCTTTCCAGCATCTCGTCAGCAAATTCCGCAGCCAAACGAGCATCCCCCAACATAACAGGCACTATGGGATGGTCATCTCCCTGGAAATGACACAGAATGAGGTGTGACAACAGTTCAATCAGCTGTACACACCCCAGACGTACCCTCAGTGTAAATCCGGCGCCCTTTAGAGCTGATCGAAAGTACCTGGTGCTAGTGTGGAGCTTGTCCACCAGTTCAGAGCCGTTCATTAGGAGGTCAAAGACCTGTGACCACAGGTAGAGGCATACAAAGAGTCATGCACTACACTCGCCATACAGCAGCCCAGAGGGACAATAGGATGGAGTCTCATAATCAAATATCGCCATTCACAGTGCTTGCGCTAGTACATTTCAGAGGAAGCTGTCTGAACGGTTGCATCACATCTGCGAATCGCAATTCCTGACCTGCCATATTCGAGCCTGCCCACTTCGATCGATGGGTTTAGAATCCCAGTTCTAATTGGGTTAAGCATGCAAGCCCAGGGCCTGGCAGAGCCATACATAGCCACTGGGGGAGAGTGGCAGACAATACACAACATTTTTTATATCAATCCACGTCAATAACGATCATTAAAAGCTGGACGCACCTGGCAGGGGTTAACTGAGCTATAACGATAGGCTGATTAGATATAAAACAGACGTTTGGTTGGCGGTGATCTTAGCATCTGCCAATGCCCAAATGGCCCAAACCACTTGATGACTAGTGTTTACTTCCGTCGCACACGCCGTAAATAAAATCTTTGTTCCTCTGTAGCCTACGTACAAATACATCAAGCCTTATGACAGGTCTGGTTGGTCTTTTGTAACTTGATGTTTTGATGGGTGGGGAGCAAGCACACCTTGCTAGCCATGGCTACAACTGCAGGAGGGAGACTGTTGGAGAAGAGATAAGGTCGCGACCTCTGTCGTAAGAGGTCAATGAGTTCGCGAGGTCCAGTAGTGTATCCTCCGGCCGCACCTCCCAGGGCCTTCCCCAGAGTCGAGTTAATGATGTCCACTTTCCCTGTGAGTCTGGCACGCTCCTCGGTTCCTCTGGAGGGAGAAGGGATGTCAGGCACTATTTGTGTGTTTTCTATCAATGTGTATAAACACACAGCATCGAAAATCCCTCAGTGTAGAGATGAATGAGATACCAGAAGCTGCCAGGGACAACACACCACCAGAAGCCTCAGCAGGAAGACGGGCATCAGAAGATGTGTGTGTGCACAATAAATTGCCTCAGGTCTGGGGGCGGACGATGGACAAAACATTCACGTTGGCTGTACTGTTTTCCTGCCTGGCTGCTCGGAGCCAGCCTGGCTAATGCACCGGGCTCTTTATCATTATAACCAGGTCTTTATGCTGGACTAGTGGGGGGGTCTTAGTTCACACACACATACACACGTGCCCCGACATGCGCCAGGCAAGGGTACAGAGAACACACAGCCCCAGCACATTCTACCTGCCTGTGGCTCCAAGAATGCCAGTTGCATGGCACTCGTCAAGAAACACCAAAGCACCGTAGTCACTGGCCAGACGACACATATCCCTGCGGACAGACACGAGAAACAAATAACTCATCATCCAACCAGAACACCCGTTGTACTTACATAAAGCCAGCACTGAGGCCTAATTCTCTGGCAGGGATGTAATTAAAAAAATTTTGTTGGGAGATCCAGCAGAATTTCGGCGCCAGTTCCTCTTGCCCGAGATGCCCGAAATTGGCTAAAAGCTAATAGTTGCAAGCTACGTCCGCCCCCTGCACCACATGTGTAAACTCGGCTAGCACAAAGCAATACCGAACAAGGCCCCCGCTGCTCCGCGCACCATGGCAATGTGCAACTTACGGGCAGCGAGAAGAGAAAACAAAGCTAGCCGATCGACTAATTGTGTTTGGCAACTACAGCCTCAATAAGTTGTGGTTCTCGCTAACTAAATTAATTAATAGGCTCAAAACACAATTTCAGACCGTTTATTTTTCCGCCATGAACAAGTTAAGTGAGAGCTCCGTGTCAACTCACTGCCTTGAATAAACAGCCTACATTCCATGGTAGACTAAACTGGGAATAGCGTCAGGAGAAAGTTATGAATTAACAGACCACCTCAGAGGAGGGTGGCAGGTTCTCCAGGCAACAGAGTGACTCAACACTGTGTAATGTCTGGGATATTCACCTCAGAGGGGCCAGGTTTCCGTCCATGCTAAACACACCGTCTGAAACAATGATCTTCAGCCTTCGATTTTGGTTCTCCTTCAGTAGCTGTTCTAACTCAGACATGTCTGGGGTAAAGAATTATAATACTTGTGTATAAGCACTGGGGCATAGACATGTATGTATACATGAGCTGTTCAGTTTTCATATAATTATAGTCCAATTCTGGTGTGAAGGGTACAAGGACACTGGCAGTCTTAGAGAGAGAGATGAAGGTACGTAAGTACATACTGCGATGGGTGTAGCGGTGTTTGTTTGTCTTGGCCAGTCTTACACCATCAATGATACTGGCGTGGTTCAGCTGGTCGCTGAAGAGAGCGTCTTCCTCTGTCAGGAGTGCCTCGAATAGGCCGGCATTAGCATCGAAACAGCTGGCATAGAGCACAGTGTCCTCATGTCCGTGGAACTGGGATATCTTCCCTTCCAGCTCCTTATGGATATCCTGGAGTAAGAGAGAGGAGAGGTGGTAATGCACAGTGACTGACAAACATCCCAGGGATGTCGCCTCGTGTAGGCGGAAGAAGTTGTTGAATATTCCAGACTAGGCCAGCTGGTGACTAGCCTCAATAGCAGGCAATCCCGCCTCAAATCTCATTTACCTCAACACCCTTTCCACTACAGAAGCCCGTCAAGAGCGCACCTCCTGGCTCCGCAGACAACTACACTATCTGGCACCAAATAACCGCAGGTGAATGGTGTGTACGTGTGAGGGTAGGTGGGGTTGGTGTGTTTTCTGCCTATAACAGTTCAAAAACAAACAACAGCCTACGCGATGTGATGACCAATGATGGAATGTTTGAATGGAGGACTAACACATACATAACACATGCAGGGAGTAGCTGAGCGGGAGAGGGATGGTAATCAGATTGCCCTGGCACACACCCCTGCTCTCTAATGGTATTAAAAATGTGAAAGGGATGTGCCAAGAGAGAATCAATCAAATCACTCGGCTGAAATTGGCATCAAATATGCAAACAGATGTAGCTAAAACTGGGCGCATGGTGGGGCACAATAAACAGCAATGGAGGGCGACAGCTGACTTCTTAAGGCCAGAGGTAAAGCACAGCTGGCAGGACCGGCAGTGGAAATGGTCACGGAACTAAAACAACAGAACTATTAGGGAGCTGGGATGCCTAGTAAAGGTGGTGGGGGAGTGGAAGTACAGATGTTACCTGCGTTCCACAGATGAACCTCACGGAACTCAGTCCAGCTCCATACTTGGTCAGAGCTGCTCGACCTGCCTCTATCACTTCCGGATGAGCCTGGGCAGGAGAGGGGGAGGAAGACAGCTCGTAGTTGAGCCCCTCCCACCTGTTCTCTCATTAGGGAGGGTGCTGGGAGCGTGCAAAGGGTACTGGGGTGAAGTCATTGTTCAGCACTCAGTATGTTAGCCATTTGTAGCCTCGACGTCTAGCAAATTCGAATTGCTTGCTGCGCGGGTTCAATACGCGCGCGCTTAGGCCGAGAGGGGAATTCCCGCACACTGCTGGCCCGCCGACACCCGCCCGCCGCGCCGTCGGCCCGCACGTCGGTCCGCACTGTTTGCGACGTCGGTCCGCACTGTTTGCGTCATCGGTCCGCACTTTTGGCGACGTTGGTCCGCACTGTTTTTGCGACATCGGAGCGACGTCGGTCCACACTGCTAGCGCCGGCGTCTAGGGACTCAATTTTCAGTTCCACTATTGGTCATGTAGTCGTTCCATCCAGGGAACTAGACAGTTAGTTTTTCGACGTCGTACTTTTTGTGTGCCTCATACACCGGTACTATTATTCAGTATTTCTACTCGTGGAGACCTTACTCAGCTATTGTTGAGAGTTGTTACATGGCGTTTTCCCGACGCTCTGATGTCGCAAACAGTGCGGCCCGACGGCGGGCGGGTGTCGGGCAGCAGTGCGGGAATTCCCCTCTCGGCCACCATAGGCCCGTTTTTACGCTCGCGGGCAGGTCCCTGGTCGCCGACTCGGACGCCGCGGGTAGTAGTCGGTGAGCATAGTCTCATGCGAGCGGCTAACTTTTGTATGTTGAATGGTGGCGAAAGGGGGGTGCTGGAGCACCCAAAGCAACCCCCTGGATACGCCACTATCTCTACAAATGAGGCCTTCTTCCCCGGAGAACGTATAGCTAAGACTCCACCGAACTAACAGATAAGCCGAGGTAGTTGTTGGCACAGAAGTTGAGGACGGTTCCAGCTCTCCCCTGGACACGGATGGCCGCTGCCTGGGGCGTGGTAATGATTCGCTCCGCTTTCCACGTCCCGCTTCGCGAATGCCGTCCACTCGGCTCTCAGCCGTCTCTGAGTCCAGCACCGCGCTTCAGCCGATACTCGACGAGCGAGGGGAACCCACATCCTTCGTGGTGGAGACAGCCTCCTCTACCCACTCGAAGGCACGTATCTTTCCGATTATTCCCACCCGCCCCCGTCTTAAATTCGTCGTCGTAAACAGACCAACCTGGTAACAGGTTGTACGCAGCATTGCGCATTGCTGCACATATAATGTGGTCTGGCCAAATACTTTGCGGTCGCTGTCGACCGAGCAAGCGAGGATGCGAGAGGCTCATCGCCGACAAACGAGAGCTAACGAGTAAGGAGAGGAACCAGTGACCTCCATGGGTGATGAGTTCGTGACTAATAGAAGCTCGAGGCAGAGGGAGCCTCTACCTCTGCTCGCAGATTCTCTGAGACTCCGTACGAGGGGACAGCGAGAGCTGTTCCACTTCCCCTTACCGGTAGTTTTCTGAGTGAGAACGGTGCCCGGGTGGAGAGGGGAGGAGCCCGCTTATTACCGAGGATGACCTGCATTCGTGTTGTCCGAACACGTGGTGACCATCTTCATGCGACTGTGAGGTGTGAGGAAGGAGAAGTGGTGATGCGGAAAGATATTAATGAATTGGCTTCTGTCGTCTTCCTCAGACTCTCTAAGACCGAGGCAGACGCTCTCCGAGCCTCACCAAGATACTGCGACAGTAAGATCGTCGTGGATCACGTATGACAGGTAGTGATCCCCTTCTATCAGACGAGCACACTAATTCTAATTATTAATCTCTCTCTCCCCTGTAGCACGGAGACACTTGGTGGATATTTCTAGTTCGCTGGGATAAAGACGTGAGTTGAACTCACCTCTAACACACAGGAGCTCCTGTGACAGTTGATTGCCTGCAGTGAGAGGGAGGAGAGAGGTGTG